CGCCTCCTAACATCTGCGGGGAAGTGGATCCTGCTTTGAGGTCACTTCCTTCAGCACAGGTTTTGCCCTTGTCATTGAGACTCCACGTCCTCTCCCACCCTGGCCAGCATCCCCTTCCCCCATCTGTGGCTGCAGCTCACTCAGCTGTGCGAGCCCTGCCCCCTCTGTGCACACTCAATCTAGAGCACTCTGGGACTGCTGGGCAGCTGCCCACATGCCAGCCGTGAGGTTGGCCAGCTGCTCTTGTTCGGGAAAACGGAAAAGATGCCATTGGACTATGTCCATCCATCTGTGGTATCCTGTAATAGTGCTACTGCCCTAGCAAAGGCAGATATTCCTTAGCCTGGTACAAATGTAGACCACAGTCTTTTTCCTGCGAGGGTGAGAAGATTTTCCTCTGGATGGCTCCCGCCAGGTGCCTGGTGAAAGGGGTCAACTTGGGCCCAGGCCATTCTCAAGGCCACTGAAAGGGCAAGCTAAATGCGTTGTCTTCTTACCAAGATGAAGATTTTCTTGAAAGAAGGGCATTTCTTTCAAGAAGGACATGAGACATTTATGTTCTCCAGATTATCAGCACTGGACTTCTCAGGAGCAGTTGGATGCATTTTTGTTCCAGTGTCTTCCAAAGGAATTGAGTTTTCCCTCTTGCTTTTGACTCCTGTCCCTCAAGGAAGCCATTAAGCTGGAATGTATCAGTAGTGGAATGATCCATTAAATTCAAGGGTGAAAACATCACAACATTCAACCCCGCTCACTTATATCAGAAATCTTTAAAATAGAGCATAAGAGAGTCTTTATCTCAAATTCTGACCCAATGGGTCATTTTACTCCTGGTGTTACATAGTGGTTACTAGAATAGAATGCAGATTTAGAATTCTTGTGGGAAACTTGCTTTTCTAAATGTTCTTTGCTAATAAATGACAGGGAGTAAGATAGATCCAAGACTCTTGGGGTTGCAAAATTTCTATCACACCCTCAAAGGAAGCATTGACTGTTGTATAAATTCCTCCCCACCTAATTTCCAGATAATGCTCTCAAAGTATTCTGGCAACTTTCTGTGTAAACCCCAACAACAGGAAGTCTCTACCAACCAGACTGCTTGCGGGGGTTGGAATGGTTAGACTCATTTTGTGCAGAGTAGCTTCGTGCAGCCTCACTGTTGGTTGAACAACCAGCTTTGGAGTCCTGGTCTGAATGTAAGCGCGGGTATAATGTGTAGAAAATGCTGACAGATAAAACCACCTGGAGCACAGACTTTTGCTTTACTTCCAAGGGGACAGGATAGTTCTTAAAATAAACCCAGGACATAGTAATGTCTCATTTTCTCCTACCCTGGGAAGTAGAAATGAATACCTAACCCGAGACATTTATGTTCTCCAGATTATCAGCGCTGGGCTTCTCAGCAGCAGTTGGCTGCATTTTTGTTCCAGCGTCTTCCAAAGGAATTGAATTTTCCCTCTCCCTAGATAGCAAGCAATACTTAAGAAGTAACCAAGGTAAAAAGTAATCTCCTGTAGGGGTCCAGCTGTGTCCACTCCACCCCACTGAGACATAAGCACTTCCCTCCAGCACCTCCCTGGGCTTGGTGCGGGGGGAAACAGGCCAAGAAGAAAGCAGGCCACTGCGTACCTATTCAGGGGAAATGAGCTGCACCTCTGCACAGTCGTCTCACCAGAAAACCCCTCTTCACATTATATTGGAAAACTGTTATCTGTATTTAAGCTTACAATAATTTGATAACCTGCCCCTTCATTTTGAAGGGGGTGCAGAGGTCCCCCCAGTATAAGTTGCTTGGTTGTTTGAGTGGGTTTTCACCTGGCAGCAGTTATCTGTGCCAGTGGTGACACAGGTGCAGGTGTGCACTTGGGCTTTGCATCTATGCACGTCCACGGGTGTCATTTGTCCTCTTAGGCAATCGGCAGGCTCACATTCACCTTCTGTTCCACAGAGGCCCAAAACTATGCTACCGGAGTTCGTCTGGGCTCTGGTGTGCTCCTTGCCAAGAATCCGGGTGGCTCCTCTTGCGGCTTTGGTTCTGCCTAGGACAACAGCACATTTTTGAGAAAGGAGTGCAAACCAGGAAACAGCCCTCCTGGAGAGCCCAGGACAGAAAAAGGCAGGGCGACCCGTCTCACCTTCTGGGCGTTTAGGTTATGTCACCCTGTGAAGCCTAGGAAAGAAAATACTGTGGAGTAGCATTGTCTTTGCCTTGCACTTGGCTTTTAGTGCTTTGAGGGAATCTGCTTGTTGCTGAGCAGAAACATCTGGGAGAGGATGGGGGCAGGCAGGCGCGGTCTGTGTATCCCCCAGCCACATTTCCCAGTCAGATCCCAAACAGTGCAAGTCATAAGGAGCTTTCACACCCTGTTTCTCTGCAAGCCTCCGTCTACTTAAAATACCTCCCCTCCCTGCCAAAAGGGATATTGAAAAGTGACTTTGCAGCAATTTTTGCACATCTTCCCGCACAGGCTTTTCAGCCTAGGGCTATCTTGAAATGTTGCATTTTCCCTTTCAACTTAACTATCCAAGCAATAGTCAACTAAATGTTTTGTTGTGATTTACAATTTGATTTGAATAAATTTGATTAATACCCCAAAATGAAGAAAAGAAAAAGGTATTTCCAGGAGAAATCACCCCCTGAGAAGACTGGAGAGTGTTGGAGACTTCTGTAGACGTTGGGGTCCCAGCAGCGCCAGGTCCTTGGTTCCTTCCTGCTCCCCAGTGCCACTTGGAGGCTCTCTCTTAACTGCCCAGGAAGCCCCAGGGATCCCTGCCTTGCTGAGATACCTCACAACTGTCCTGGGACAAGAGCTTGCAGAAGCAGTCCCGTGCATTGCTGAAAACAACCTGGGAAGCCATCCGTCTCTCTGCTTGCTTTTCTCTTGTCAGCCCCAGAGGCCCTTTCCTGCTCTTCTCCAACTCTGGGATCTGAGGTTCCTGCTCCACCACTGTTCCACAAGCAGCGCTCCCTCATTTCCTCCCTGTTGCCCCACCTGCTCCACCATGATATCATTTCCTTCCTACCTGTGATGCCACCGGAACCCCAGAGGAGGACTGCGCCCGCAGAGCCCATGACCCTATTTTTGACGCTTGGCTCTCTGAGTTGTTTTCCTCATCTGTGTAACAAAGAGATAGGATCAGATGATTTTTATTCCCCGTTCTAGCTCACAATTTGGAGTCTTGAGATTATTCTCTTCCCTTGGCCCGTCAGATAAAATAGAGAGCAGGCACTACCCCCAGTTGCTGCATGACCTGGAGCTGCTCAGTGATGTGGCTGTTCCCAGGGGCCCTGAGCTGCAGCCTGGGGAGGCCCTGCTGCACTGCACCCGCCCAGCAGCTGAGGGTGCAAAGGCGTGGGCAGGCAGGGAAGCATTCAGGTGGCTAGACTCGGATTTTTTTAGACTAGCCATCTCAAGTGACTTAATTGCAGCTAAGTTAGGTCAACAAATACCAATGGATGATCAACATGAATAAATGGTGACTTTCTGTGTGTACCTTAGTAGCCAAAAGTCACGACGATAGCTTGTCTGTGCACATGCTGCTGTTTTTAGATTTTTAAAATAAGCTCTGTTTTAGGATAGTGTTAGATTTACAGAAGAATTGTGAAGAGTACAGAGCTTGCATGCGCCCCTCACCGTTTCCCGTTAGTAATGTGTGTCTAACTCTGGTGGGTACACTGGTTATAATCAGTGTTGATGTGCTATTACTAACTGTCATCCATATTTGATTCAGGACCCCGCATTGTATTTACTCCTCACATCTCCATAGCTCCTCTAGGATCTGACATTTCTCAGACTTTCCTAGTTTTTAAGGACCGTGACAGAACCAGTCAGGTATTTTGTAGAATGGGATGTGCCTGATGATTTTCCCATGGTTAGCCTGCGGCCATGCGTTTTGGGTGAAAGACCATGGAGGTGAAGTGCCCGTCACATCACACGCCCACATGTCTGTCACTGCTGTTGGCCTCAGTCACCTGCCGCAGGCGTTGGCTCTTGAGTTTCCCCACTGAAGAGTTTATATATCCTCCCACCCTCACCCTTCCATCCTGGACTCTGTGGAAGGAAGTCTCTTCCCTTCAGGTGTGGGGAGCAGCTGCTGGTCTGAGGGTGGCTGCTGGTGTGTCCTTGCCGAGGGCTCACCTGTTGCGTCTGGCCGGGCAAGGTAGGCCTGTAGGTGGGAGGAAAGCAATCTCGGAGCCATCCCACAAGGCATAAGGTGTCGTGGACACTCACGGGGCATGCTCCATGTGACGGTGGGATGAATGAATACGTGTCCTCTTGTGATAAGTGCTCAGGAGCATATCAGACATGCGTATCTATCATGTACCATAGAACGCGTTGGGCTGACATTCTAGCCCAGAGGAAAGTGCTTCCTGGAGGAGTAACAGTTAGGAAAAGCCCTCACTTGTAATAACTCAATAGTTTTCTGCTTAGACCTATCTCTTTGTTACCTTAAAAGCGGAGGCAACATGCTCCTTACCCTCAGGGGATCCTAGAAAAATCTACCAAAAAGAAACAAGAAAAACATTGTTATTGCTATTCAGGGCCTGTGAGTTTTAATAATTTAATAATGAAATTAAGGTGTGGTTTGATTTGCCTTCTATTACAGCGTACTTGAAATAACACCTTGTTTTTCCTGGTGTATCGCCTGATGACTGAGTGTAGGAACAATGTCATTAATGCGTGTTTCCGCTACACATCATTTTCACCCATGGAAGAGTCTCCATTAAGAGGAGCTGAAATAAATGCGGAAGCTCAGAGACCGCAAAGTGAAGTCAGCTGCATCTACTGGCCTGCTGAGATAATTCTGTATTTGCCGGTGAGACTGGAAAAGTCTGCCTGCTTCTGACAATCGATGGTGGGATTCTGCGAATGAAATCATTTTAGCAGGAAATGATTACGAAGGACCTGATCACTGTGTGTGCTTCAATAATGTGATACGATGAGAGTAATGGGTGAAATGAGGAGCAGTCAGGAAACGTCTTTGTTCTTTTTCAACAGATCTGAACAGCAACATGGGGTGCAAAGTCCTGCTCAACATTGGCCAGCAGATGCTGCGGCGGAAGGTGGTGGACTGTAGCCGGGAGGAGACACGGCTCTCTCGCTGCTTGAACACTTTTGACCTGGTGGCCCTTGGGGTGGGCAGCACGCTGGGTGCCGGCGTCTACGTCCTGGCTGGAGCGGTGGCCCGTGAGAATGCGGGCCCTGCCATTGTCATCTCCTTCCTGATCGCTGCACTGGCCTCGGTGCTGGCCGGCCTGTGCTACGGGGAGTTTGGTGCTCGGGTCCCCAAGACAGGCTCAGCTTACCTCTACAGCTACGTCACCGTTGGGGAGCTCTGGGCCTTTATCACTGGCTGGAACTTAATCCTCTCCTACATCATCGGTAGGTCCCAGGGAGCCTGGAGCTTGAGCTCTCTGCCACTTTTCTGTTGGTTCCCAGCTCCAGAGTGTGGGCGGATGCCCCATGGGGAAGTCATTCTTGTTAACATGAGAGTCACAGAATTAATGGGATGTTTCTGAATCATTTAAAAGTATTTAGTTTCTTTTAGTATGTTTTTTGATTACTAGAGTAAATGCATCACTGATAGAGAAAAATTGGGGAAATAAAAGCACAAAGAAGAAAGTAGAAATACCCTGCCTGACAGCTTAGAGAAACTAATTCTCTTATTCCTTCCTTCATTCATTCTTTCTTTTAATAAATGTTTATTGAGTAGCAGCTGTGTGCTGGGCATTATGCTAGATACTAGGGAATCCCATGAAGGCATAAGACACTCTCTTATGTTTCCATGAAGGCATAAGACAGTCTCTGTTCAGAAGTTTACCGTCTACCGATATAACTATTATTAACATTTTTTGTGAATTTAAATGTGTATTTTTGTACAGTCTATCTCTTTATAAAACAATGTATAGGAAACATTTCTCATATCTTAGCTGTTTTTCCATAGTAATACTTGTAATGCTTGCCTACCATCATGTAGATTTATACACACAGCGTAATGTATAGGCTGTCTTTATGGGACGTTCAGATTGTTTCCATGACATTGTTGCTGTTGTTATACACAGTTAATTACTTTATGTCTTGGGGCTCAGCCGTGATTCTTTTCCTTAAAACTGTCTAAGGAGCAGAATGGCTCTCAGTGAGTCTGCATGTTTTTAAGGCCTTTGTTGACTGTGATCCTCACGTAGCCAGGGGCCCCTTTCCCTGCAGTGTGGGCATGGGGCTTCGGCCTATAACACAACCACCCAGCAAATAAAGCAGCAGACACAGAAAATCTTTCCAGTTTGCCAGGTAAACATGCTTTGCTTCTCTTTATGCCTTTGTGTGTGTGTGTGTGTGTGTGTATGTGTATGTGTGTATTTTGATTACAACTGAAATTGAACACATCCACTTAAACACACACCTAAGTCTCAGAAGCAGCAAAGGGTACAACGGCCGCTCGACATGCCGTTTATTTTTCTCCTCAAACTTTTTGGTAACAGCAAAGTATAGTAAGACTTGGTAAGCTGAGCCATGTCGGTCCCGCCTTGCTTCTGTATCAGCTCCCTCTGGGCGCTACCCCACCCTCCCTACCACGCATGCTGCCTGCCGGGACCCTCACTGCCCTGGGCTCCCTACAGCCCTATCTCTGCATGGTGGGGGGCACCACTGCCCCTTCATCAGGACAGCTGGCGGAGGGCACATACTCACGCTCTCTGAGCAGCACCTTCTCTTTCTTTCCAGCAGCTGCAGTATCTGCTGAGAGCCAACATAGCTTAGTCTTCTGAATTCTAAAATAAAATTCATAAATGTTTTCTTTCAGTGCCACATCAAAACTTACAACCACACATGGTTCTCACAAGCTGAAGTCTCTCAGTGGGAATGTAGCTATTGCAAATGGACCGTCATGTTTCCAGAGGATTTACCTGAGCATAAAATACACATTGAGCACGAAGTGCTTGCAGCATCTAGACCAGCAAATGAGAGGCTTGTGTGAGGCCATTTGCATGCATTCTGAAAACTTCTTTGCAGCCTTAGCTGCTGGGAAGGGCAGTTTTTCCAGCAAACATTTTTTTGTTAAAGGCGTAATTTAGAAATTGGAAGGAGTTAGGCTGGGAAGAAAGGCTGGGTAGCCCCTCTCATCCAGCAGGACAGGGTTCGGGTGCCACATATGCCGTGAGCCAGCTGCTTTAGGGGTGACAGGGAGATGGTGAGACCATTTTTATAGAATTCATATTAGACTGGCTGCTCAGGAGAAAGAAATGTGGTTAAACTTCTGATTGTTGGAAAGATACTTATCATAAGACCAAATAGTGAAATTGAATCTCTGCAGATCACTCTGGCAAAATGCTGTGGCTAATCAGGACCATGGTCACCAGCAGGGCCCCCTTTGAAAATAAAGGAAAGTGCTCTATGCATATACTGGAATTTTACTGCCATTTCCTGAGAAACACCACTGGAAGCACACTCTGACCATCTTCAGAATTAAAGAGAGTGAAAGAGACCAGCCAACTCTTCTTGGTGTTTTGGGTGCTGCCCTGTTGGTGTTCTTCAGCGCTGGAGGGTATAGGCTGAGGGGAGAATGAGGAGGGCTGGGCTCTGTCTGTGGTCCTGCACTCTGGGGACGCTGTGGCCTCCAAGTCAGGTTCATGCCCAAAGTGGCAGAGGTGGCTGATGCCTGCTCTGAGGTGAGCAAGTGGCTTTGTCCCTGAAATGGGGTTCAGCCCCTTCAAGGACCTCCTAGGACTGTTCTTCTTGCTGGGAGAACAATGTTTTGGGGCTGCAGGTACCATCACCTCTGCTACCAAGGGGTTCTTAGAAAGCAGGCTTCCTAAGCAGTGTTTGCCCAGACTGCCAGTTGTACCCCAGGAGTGCATTATGAAATCAATTTTTCATGTGTTGTCATCAGTATGTACTTTTTCAGATGAAAATAGGTAACATGAAATACTATCAGAGTGCCTCTCAGATGGTAAGGGCAACACTTGTTTTGCAAACTTTTTATTCAGATATATATATATTTGATAGACACCTGTGCATACTGGGTAGGATGTGAAATGCATTCCTCTGTAGGCCCTAGAAGCCTTCTCGCACTTAGCACTAGTTACCCATCCCTTCCGGCTCAGCATGCACCGTGGTCTGGCCGCTGCCGCCAGGTTCCAGTGCGCCGCCTGTGACTCCTGCAAGGATGCTGTCAACCTGGAGCTCCACTACAAATACCTTGCTAACCGTTGTCCTCCCATCCCCTCTGTTGTGCGTGCTTTGTGGCAGGTACTTCAAGTGTAGCGAGGGCCTGGAGCGCCACCTTCGACGAGCTGATCGGCAGACCTATCGGGAAGTTCTCGCGGACACACATGGCTCTGAATGCCCCCGGCGTGCTGGCCGAAAACCCCGACATATTTGCCGTGATCATAATTCTCATCTTGACAGGTAAAGCCCATACTGAAAAAGAAATGAGGTCAGAGTGTTGGGCAAAGGTTTGGTGAGAGGCTCCCGTTAAGCTCCTTTCTTTTCTTGTCTCTTTAACCATAATCCCCATCTCTTTTTGTTTTGTTTTTCTGCTTCATGCAGGCATCTTTATGTGTCCCTGTCTTCATGGCTTCTTATAGATTAATACAGGGCTGGCTTGTTTCATAGCTGCTGAGTTGTGTGCTGTCTCATTAAAAGAGAATCTTAGGTGTTTAGCATAGCCGTTTGTGGAATAAGATTTTTGTCTGCACTGCAGGCTTTTTATGTGAGTATCCTGGGAATAAAAATTCTTTTGACTCAGTGGATGACCATTTGGAAAGCAAAGCTGTCATTCATCCGCCAGGAAAATGTGGAGGAATGAGCCCCGTCTGGAACACGAATGTGTACCTGGGGCGTCTGAAGACGACTTGGATGGTTTTACACCTAACAACCATCAAAACACCCTTTCAATACATAAGTTTCATGACAGAGTTGTGGTTACAGAATTTGAAAAATCCCAGAGACTGCCCGCACACAGCGGATGGCAACTTCTTACTAGTGACATTTGTGCGTGTCTTGGCCAGTGGAATGCGAGTTTTGCTCTGTGGGACTCCATAAACATGAAGCTGAAATGCAGATAAATTCTCATTTGGGGTTAGAAAATCTTGGATGAGTTTTAAAAACGACATGCCGTATTTTACACACCACATAACTGAAATAACTTCACTCAGGCTGGTCTCAGCAGTATTTCGAGTCCAGCTGGCAGAATCATGCATCAGAAAGTAAGTCTGCACTAGTGAGATTTCATTTTAATAAACCTGAGAGGGAGGGACACTAAAGAAAAAAATATATTGGTGTGTGTCGAGGTGTTCTCCCTGTGATTAATTACACAATTCTCTTCTACATCTCTACTTTAGAATTCAATCTCATAAGTACAGCAGTTTTTATTTTATTTTATTATATATTTTATTTTATTTTGAGACAGAGTCTTGTTCTGTCACCCAGGCTGGAGCGCAGTGGCATGATCTCAGCTCATTGCAACCTCTGCCTCCTGGGTTCAAGCAATTTTCATGCCTCAGCCTCCCAAGTAGCTGGGATTACAGGCACATACCACCACACCCAGTTAATTTTTTATATTTTTAGTAGAGATAAGATTTCACCATGTAGACCAGGCTAGTCTTGAACTTTGACCTCAAATGATCTGCCTGCCTCAGCCCCCCAAAGTGTTGGGATTAGAGGTATGAGCCACCGTACCCAGCCAGTTTTTATTTTAAAACTATGAGAGGCGTCCATAGTAGAGCAGTGGTCTCAAATTCTGGCTGTGTTCGAGTGGTACCAACCCCTTCTGTGCCACTTTTCTTGCCCAGTAGAGTTCAGCTATGGAAGTACCTCTTTCAGCTATGAATGACCTCTTGACCCTAAGGTGGTGCTGGGGCATACACCTCAAAGGCAGCGCCGCCCGAAGTTTCTGGGCATCTTACTTAGTTTTCTTTTAAAAAAAAAAATGTGAATTTACAAGCTAGAGCTAGTCTAGCTCAGATGTTATTTTATATGCACTAAGTCCAATGAAGAACCATGTATGCTAGTGGTTCCAGAACCTCAGCTAGCTGTTATTGTCGATATCACTAACATCCCAAAGTCAACCAGAACAATCTCCTCATCTGTAAAATGCCCATTCTCCCAGGAAACTGAGCAAAGTGTTTCCTCCTGGATTTGTTCCTGGAGATTGCTTTCCAGCAACACATCGTTTTAGTGAGAGGGAGCAGCTTGGTGTGTGGGTCCAGGCCTTATTCTCCCTGTGAGAGGGGCTCATGCTCCAGATCTCTGCAGTCCTCTGGTGCCTCTTGGGTGGGCGTCTCAGTTCCCAAGGCCACCTAGGAAAGCCTGGGAAGCACCCCACAACCTCAGTGATTGAGACCCCTGCTCCTTGCCCCTAGAAAGATCATTAATCCACCCCATTCCCAGAAGCTCACAGAGGTCTGCAGAGGCTCAATGCACTTGGATTCTTTTTCAGTCACCTTCTCATCCCTATCCAGGAAGGACCTCCTAGTTCGTGGTTAACACTCAGACAAGGTTTTCTGTCTATCTGTTTTTTCAGGACTTTTAACTCTTGGTGTGAAGGAGTCAGCCATGGTCAACAAAATATTCACTTGTGTCAACGTCCTGGTCCTGGGCTTCATAATGGTGTCGGGATTTGTGAAAGGATCGGTTAAAAATTGGCAGCTCACGGAGGAGGATTTTGGGAACACGTCAGGCCGTCTCTGTTTGAACAAGTGAGTTGCTGCTTTTGACCATTTTTCTTATTTGATATTTAGTGACACAGACATGTATTGGGGGATGTAACTGGCCGTGCCTTTAAAAAACATTATTTGAGTATATTTTGTTAATTTTTTTTTCTTTTGCAGCAAAGTAGCTGAGTGTATTTTGTATGTTTCAAGTTTGTGTGAAGGTTTATTCCCCTGAAATGGAAAGACTGTTTTATGACAAGAAAGATGGAGGAAAATAAGATCATCACCCTAATTCCAAATTGTGTATATTTCAGGATTCTTGTCAGACCTCATTAAATGATCCCTCTTTCCCCAGATTCTGTTTGATGGCCAAGTTCTGAATGTCATATTCAGAAAGGATTTTTCTCTGCAGTGCCATGGTGACCTAACTTTACCTTTACATACCTTCCTATTATATTAATAACGTAGACGGAAGAGAAATATGTAGAACTTTTTTTGAAGGTTTTCAGAATGACCGAAGTGTCAGAATGTGAGCACAGCCGTCTCCTTTCCGACGTCTTACTGGTGCTGCTCCAGCCCTGACGACAGTGGCCCCTTCACCCTCATGCCTCTGATGTGGACACCCGGGGCTGGAGGTGACAGCTCCCCCCTGTGCCATCTCAGACCTCTCACCCAGCCCTCACCGACAAGCTCAGATTACCTAGGAAACAAAGCCAAACAGTCATAATGTATCTTTTTAAACCTTTGGTCAGATCTTCAGGTAATACTTTAGGTCCCAGGATGGAGAATGGGGAGTTGAATTTTGTGTGAGATTCTTCAATAAGACTGAAGGTTGAAACTGCTATGATAAAGAGACCCTCCCCATGGCGCTCACCCACCCCCACACCGGCAGAATGGAGTGGCTTTATTTTATTTTATTTTATTTTTTTGAGATGGAGTTTTGCTCTTGTTGCCCAGGCTGGAGTGCCATGACGTAATCTCAGCTCACTGCAATCTCCGCCTCCTGGCCTCCAGCAATTCTCCTGCCTCAGCCTCCTGAGTAGCTGAAATTATAAGCATGCACCACCGCTGCTGGCTAATTTTGTATTTTTAGTAGAGACAGAGTTTCTCTATATTGGTGATGCTGGTCTCAAACTCCCAAACTCAGGTGATCCACCGGCCTTAGCCTCCCAAAGTGCTGGGATTACAGGTGTGAGCCACCATGCCCGGCCAATAGAGTGGCTTTAAAGAGATGTTTCCAGTCCTGAAATGAGCAGTCCAAGTTAGCTGGCCAGCTCTGCCACAGGCCTCTGGGGACCCAGACAGCTTCCGTCTTGCCCCATCTTCCCCCAGGACGGTGTCCTCGTCTGCCTGATCAGAGCCGGCTGTAAGCACATGCATGGCCCAGCTCTCCCAGGAGGGAAGGGAGAGCGTGGAGGAGTGCTCAGGACTGTTCAGGGCAGACCCTGATGGCACACAGACGTTCCATTGGCAAGAGTCCACTGGAGGCCACACTGAGCTGCAAGGGAGGCTGAGCAGCGCTGTCTATCATTGGGAATTGTAGCAGTCACATATGCCCAGTTGGTCCCTGGTTCAGGGCCAGGTGCCCAGCCATGCCCTCCAGTGTTGTTAACCAGCATGCAGCCATTGATGTGTGACTAGTTTACTGCTTGAATGAAGACAGGAAACTATGGCGTTCGGTGCACAAAACTTCACTAACACCAATATTATGTGGTTAGCAGTTCTAATAAAAATACCCTTGCTGTCCTAAACTCCAAAACAGAGAAAGGAGGACTTTTAATATGTCATCCCAAGCTTTCCAGAGTCATATTTATGCCAAATTTGTGGGTGCCCATTAATTCAGGGTGCAGTAAAGCCAATTCCAGCTGTGCTTTGAGGTAACATAGTAGCCTTTGAAAACTCTGAGAGCATATTTGACCAGTTGCTATTTTCAGGTCAGGAATGAACTATAAAGGGCACCTCTTATTAACTGGTTGCCAATCGAGATTTAATTTTGTTATTTTTATGAAGAGATTGTGCCAGCCCATGGTATTTACTTTTCACGGGTTATCCTCACGCTGATGCCCTGGTAATGGTGAGCCATACTGGCCCCCAGACAAAGCAGCATTTGTTGTCCCAGCCCCTGGTCACAGTTGGGGCCCCCTCAGCTATATCTGGAGGCCTCACTGCCAGGACCCAGCGCCCCCTGCCCGCAGGGACGACAGGGGATGGGCCGTGTTAGGAGGTGGGGTTCTGCAGGACTGAAGCCTCGATGCCTGCTCTATTGTTTTGTTAAAATCTCTTAAGCATCTTTCTTTTTTTCCCCAGCCATAGCTTTGTGTTTCTGACAACACAGCCATGTAGTCTTGCATGAAATTGCTTGTTCCTCTGAAATAGTAGGGCACTGCCCAGCCAATCCGTATAACATGCAGGAGCTTCAGCGTGCATGGGAGGCCATGTGACCACGTGGGCTTGTGATTTCAGGATGCTCTTTCCTAGCTGTCTGGGAAGGCCCCTGGGAGCTGGCTCGGCCTGTCTGTTGGTCTGTGAAAGGAGTGTAACCTTGTGGTCTGGATGGCTTCTCATGCCTTTGACTCATGCTGCTGCTGGCATTCCCATCCAGTGTTCTGTGGACGTAGCAATAGTGAAACATCAACCCCCAATGGAAGCCTGTTCAGAAAGCTTTGTTGAACGGTGTCTGCCTGTTAGGATGGGAGCCCCAAAATAACATTGGCTTCAACGAGATAAGGGTTTGGTTTTCTCCGGTCAACCTCTGGGGGTGGTCAGTCCAGCATGTCACTTCACCCAGCCAGGAATCCAGGCCAAGGGCCCCAGGCTCCTCCCATGCAGCCAGCAGGATGGACAAGGGAACAGCAGGGGGCTGTTTCTCAGCAGATGTAGACGCCATGTCTGCCCAAACCTCCTCCATCAGAACTTAGCCAACTGGCTGCCCCTTGTAGCTAGTGACTCTGGGAAACATACAGTTCTAGGCTCATGATCCTTAAGGTTCATAGGTCCAGCTACAATACTTAAGGCTTCCATTACTGTGTAATGCTTCCATTACTGTGTAACAGGAGAGTGTGGCTTCTGAGGACAACCAGCAGTTGATGTCAGAGTGGCTGGTGTGAGTGCAGGCAGTGGAGCCCTGCTGCAGGATGTTCACTGCAGATGCAGTAGGAGACCCTCAGGCCTGGCCCCTTTCTATGCCGGGGTCTTCGCTGCTTCTGAGCGACCAGCTGAGCAGAACACAGAAGGGCTGGTCAAAGGCTGCAGGGCAGGGAGTGCTGAGTTGAGACCAAGACTCAGGCTACTTTGTCTTGGGGTGACATTTGCTGGGTGAGGGCTCTTGGTAACCCCTCTCCTTAACATGTGAGTTGCCAGATGATGAATGAACACAACCGCCACATGCATGTAACAGGTTAATTATTGATTATCTCTGAAGAGACCGCTATAAAATACTTCTATATGTTTTGGTTGCGCCTCTGTAGAATGGGTTCTGTGGTTATTTTGTGTTGATACTCTGCCACTGGCATCAGTAGCACCCAAACTTTTCTTAAAGGTTGAATTTGATGTTTTGAGTAAGTAAAATACTACATGGTTCATAGATCATAATGCTTTAAAAAAGATTTGCAGTGTGTTCCTTTCTTCTTCCACCTTATCTCCCACCCCACAGGTAAACTTTTTAAGATATGTGTGTGTGTATGTGTGTGTGTGTGTGTGTGTGTGTGTGTGTGTGTGTGTATAAGCTTCCAGTTTCTCTCTGTGTAAGTACAAGCAAATGCAACCATGTGTAGTCCTTTTCTGTTACACAAAACATGGCATTCCATATCCATTGTTTTGCACCTTACATTCTTGCTTACTAGAATACCCTGCAGATTTTTTATATGAGGCCCTTATTTGTTGTTATGGTTGCCCCAGGTTTTGGCACCTGAACCCTCCTGAGGTCAGGTGTAGTGGTGCAGTAGGAGGAGCAGGTGTGGCAGGGTAACAGTCAGTGGGGCTAGTTTGCAGATGCTCCTGGTTGCACACAGCTCTGGAGTTGCTGCAGCACAGCACATGCCTTCACCCCGTTCCATCAGCTGGAGGGTTATCCAGTCTCTCCTGCAACTGTCCTGAGGAGCCTTGGAGGATGCTTTTTGTTTTGCCTCCTCTCTTCGTGCTCACCCATCTCCCTTGCTTCCTTCTCTCCATGCTTTTATTGCTGTGTGTGCTTCACCTGTCTGCGTGAGGAAGACACATTCCAGCCTTTCTTAGTCCTCTTTGTGAGTTCATCTCTTTCTGGGGTTTAATTGTGTATGCAGTTCCCTGCACTTTCTGCTTGCCCTGAAATGGGGGTTTCAGGACTTTTCTGGGTGCCTCTGCCTCATGGTTGCCTAAAGCTCATCTATCCATGATAGCATTCATTTTAAAAATTTATTGTACAGACAAGATTTTGCTGTGTTGCTTAGGCTAGGGTGCAGTGGCACAATCTAGGCTCACTGCAGCTTCAAAGTCCTGGGCTCAAGCAATTTTCCCACCTCAGTTTCCCAAGTAGCTGGGACTATAGTCACATGCCAACACACCTAGCTAATCAGAAAAAAAATTTTTTGTACTGATGGGGTCTCACTGTGTTGCCCAGGCTGGTCTCTAACTTATGGCCTCAGGTGATCCTCCCTTCTCGGCCTCCCAAAGTGGACATGCATTTATTTTAACGCAAGGCCATGTTGGTAGCTCTAGATGCCATAGGAGCTGAGTGAAGCAGAAGACTTTTCACTGCCTGCCAGTCACCCTGGCCGCTCACGTGGGGCCCCCAGAAGACATTTGGACTCTTGAGTTCTCCTCCTCCTGTGGTCTTATCCTCCCTGTCCTGAGCCATTTGTTGTTGCCTGTTTTGCCTTAAGCATAGGCTGCTGTATAACAGAAGCTGTTTGTGAGGGTGGGAGCTGGTGGTCAGCAGGGCCTCTGGCCTGGGAGGCGAGCAGGTTTGGATGAGGCGGGCACAGTACCACTCCAGCATGTTGCTGTCCTGTGGCCCTGCTCACTCGTTTGTCCTGGGCTGCTTGGTTTTGAACTTGGGTTGCTAGTTTTATTCATAGTCTAACACAACAAACTAAAATTTTGTTTGGCCACAGTTTTTCCTACATCCATCACTTGTACATTTCTGGGGGTTTCCTCTCATTATGAATCCCACATCGAAATGAGCTTGCTCATGTGTGTACTTTGAGTGTCTTCATGGCAGTTTCCATAACTGAGAGATGTGATGATCCTCTAGGAATTAATAAGGCTTAATCCCCATTAGAAAGGAGCTTAGTCCATCCCGTCTGTCTGTCTATCAGCCAGTCAGTAAATCCTACTGAAAGCAAAGTTCACCAAATGGGCTGCTACCCAACCTGAGGAATGTCAGTGTTTATAGGATTGGGAGCATCCTATCGGGTTCCTCTCTTAATGCTGACAAGGTCTAGGGCAGGTTGTCCCGTGCAGCTGGGCGACTGTCGGTATGGTTGAGTGGGAGGGATAGACGTGGGTGGTGAGTGTCCTCTTGGACTCCAGGCCAGCCGCTGGGACCCTGGAACAGGACAGAAAGCCCGCAGCCCTATGGCTGGCAAAGGTGTAGACGCAGGGGTGGGAGTAGGGGCTGCCCTTTGGAACTACAAGGAGTGCAGTTGCTTTTCGGGTGGTAGCAGAGGGCCGGATGCAGAAAGCTTAGGGTGACTTGGTGACCAGCAGGGCCTGTGTGCCTTATAACCAGGCGATGGTGGCCAGGGAAGCCACCTGCACTGACTCTATGGTTTACCCTCAGAACACAGCATGTGGGGGAGACAGGCAGACCAGGGCTTCGTACATCAGGGAACAGCGGCTTGAAGGACCCCACACGGGGCCCTGGGAGGGGCCATAGCACCACACTGAACCTGGGCATCGGGTCTCGGCATGGGTGTCAGACATATTTTCTGAATGTTTACGCAGCCTGCTTCCTCTGGGCTCCTGGGTTTGTCAACTGTGCTTGCCTTAGTGTCCATCAGTTTACTAAAGGTGCACTGAGCCCCTCCCAAGGGCCAGAGCCAGGCTGTGCCTGGGCCCCACACACCTGGCAAAAGCTGTACGGCCCCGGTCTCCACCTTGTGCATTCAGGCACTTAAGGAATGCCTTTGCTGACAAAGACAGTATGCTTTTATTTTAGCCTCAGTTTCTCTGGAATTGTTTGTTTTGAGATTGAGTTACTGGTAAATATGGGACCCGGGGCAGGACTGGCTGGCGGCTCTGCCTCCTTCCTCCAAGGGCCCTGGGGAGAAGGTGTGGGACTGGCCACGTGCTGGTTTCTCCCCGTATTTCCTGTTGGACCCCTGCCTCACAGTGTCCACCTCTCCCCACCCTAGTTATTGTTTAGAAAATGCTCCTGGAAAGGGCAATACTCTGTACCCTTGTGGCCCTGGGCCATGAACAGCAGGGAGGCCTGTGCCCACGGAGTTGGCATGTGGTGACTGGTCTCAGGGAGGGCTAACCACCTGGTTCTCCTCCTGTCAGGAGGTGAGCACAGCTCCTGATGCCAGACTGCGCAGTGCGTGTCGTGACCTTTGTTTGTGTCCTTTTTTCTAGTGACACAAAAGAAGAGAAGCCCGGTGTTGGTGGATTCATGCCCTTCGGGTTCTCTGGTGTCCTGTCGGGGGCAGCGACTTGCTTCTATGCCTTCGTGGGCTTTGACTGCATCGCCACCACAGGTATGCCCGCCAGCCCACCTGCGGTCCTGGGTCCCCCTTACTCCTAGCAAACAGGCCAGTGTTGCTTACGGCTTGCCATTTCCTTCTTTGCTGGCACTTTCTGGCTGCCACTCTTTCACACAGGGGCAATGTGTGGATTTGTAGCTTCCTGCCAACCCCTCCCACCCCTAAACCATTATCACATCCCCACGTGTCAAAGCCTGATGGAAGCTGCATCTCAAATGAGGTGAAGGTTCTGATGCTAGAGTGGAATCAGAGCCGTGTGACTGTGGCCTGATTTCATATCTGAGCGTCTTCCGGGAGGAATGAGGCCATTCACAACATTGTCATCCTGGTGGTCTGAATGGGCCAGGCTTCAGTGAACCTCCCAGATTTTCTCTGCCAAAGGAAACAAATCTCTTCCTTTGCTGCCCCACCATGTTCAGGCTCAGAACACTGTTGCAGGGCCATGGGCTGTCTGATGTGTCTTTCTGCGCACCACCCTTCCGCTCCCAGAAGCCCAGGAGGCCCCAGTGCCCACAGGGCCGAGCGCTGCGGGGGAGGTTTCTCACAGTGTTGCGTAGGTTCCCTGGCACTGAGAGCCTTGGGTGTCATATGGGCAGATGTGCAGCCTCCTCCACTGACCCCTTGGTGCTTCTAGGTGAAGAGGTGAAGAACCCACAGAAGGCCATCCCCGTGGGGATCGTGGTATCCCTTCTGATCTGCTTTATCGCCTACTTTGGGGTGTCGGCTGCCCTCACACTCATGATGCCCTACTTCTGCCTGGACAATAACAGCCCCCTGCCCGACGCCTTTAAGCATGTGGGCTGGGAAGGCGCCAAGTATGCGGTGGCCGTGGGCTCCCTCTGCGCTCTTTCTGCCAGGTGAGACACCTTTCTGTGGTGGCTGCTCCTAGGGTTGGAACCACCAGCAGGGGTTAGGCTGTATCAGACCAGGTACAGCCATGCGAGAGACACGTCGGCTGCCAGCATTCTTTACCCTTGAAACAGAGCCGGGACCCAACCCAGCCCTGAGCATGTGGCTTTTCCCTTGTTGTCAGTATTCATTGCCCCAAGACTTGTGCTACTGAGATTTTCATCCTGAAGAACCCGAGGCTGGCTTTTCAGCAGCATCTGCTTAGCAAGGGACTGGCTCTCTGTCCCTGACTCTGGCCACTGGACCAGGCCACCTGTTTGAATACCATATTTTGGCCCTCAGTTTGGCTGTTAATGCAGAAGCTACTTTGAAGAAGGGAATAAATGCCTTTTAATGAGAAATATTTTTGCCTCTGGTATTTCCTTGTAGCCTGTGTAAACAGAGCTATTTGGTAAATATTGATTTACCACAGGGAAATCCAGTGATGAATGAATGCAGTGATGCTTGTATTTTCTGTTTGATTCAGCTGGAAATAATTGCAGGAATTAATGCAGTTTTGCATCTGTAAAGACTGTACTGGGTCTCATGCTAGTGTATGTGAGATAGATGTTCCCTATTCTTTACCTTAATCCATACTCACAGTGTGTGCTCTTTCTGGGGTTGATTTTTTTAAATGCCAAGTCTTTTAGCCGCAGGCCTCACCCAGCATGGAGGGATGGCAGCTCTTGGTGAGCTCAGACTCCTCCTTCACGGTAAACCGAGCATGGCTGGATGTGGTGCCTTTATCCCTTATGAGCCAGGGTTGCTCACGCGGTTTGCCTCTCCCCATCTAGTCTTCTAGGTTCCATGTTTCCTATGCCTCGGGTTATCTATGCCATGGCTGAGGATGGACTGCTATTTAAATTTTTGGCCAAGGTCAATGAAAGGACCAAAACACCAATAATCGCCACGTTAGCCTCCGGTGCCATTGCTGGTGAGTACTAGAACTCATTTCACGTGTAAATATTTTCACAATTGAGTCGTTGATCCCTAGGGAGACGTCTTGCATTGTTCTGGGCTGTGAGTAATTTTAACTGGTCTTTGTAACTCCTGGTTTTTATACTTGGAGCCTGGTTCATTGAAAGTTGACTGACCTTTTGACAAAAGGCAGAGGTAGTTTGACAGAGGATGGGATAGAATTTTCGAAGAGTTTGCACTCTGGTTTTCATCTCATTGGGCAGAGCTTAGAACACACAGTTTTCCCCCAAAACTTTTTCCCCCATTTCTGGACGTTTCCCTGTCAAGGCCAGGCTGACACCTTCCTGCATGACACAGGCCAAGGGAGACTTCACCGGTACCTGGAAATGCAGCATCCATGTTATGAATTCTCTGGAAAACAAGTATCCCTTATGATCAGTGTTTTATAAAATGTGCTGCCTCTTCCTGAGGGAGTATCAAGGGTGTTGCTGATGAAGCTGCTGCCCCTCAGTTGATACGTAATAGCAGACACAGTGGAGCTTCATCTTGTCAGATCAGCATTTTGTTGGATGAAATCAGTGGGGTGATGAACTCTCTGAGCTGTGTGGGTGTTCCAGGGCCCTAGATGAAGAGAAGGAGCACCCAGAAGGAAGCTCACGTGCACACTGTACCTGTGGTTTTATGTTTCTTCCTTTCGCAATTGCATTTCATAGCCCCGAAAGGCAGACGCCAGCCCACTGTGCAGATGTAGAGGTGGAGGCCCAGGGAGGTGAAGTGAGTATCTGCACCCAGGACGGTGGAGCCGCCTTGTGATTCCAGGATTGTTTTTATGTCAGAGTGGCCAAGCTCCTTCCAGGGTCTGAGTAGAGCAGTGGGTCTTTTTGGCAAATTAGGGCATGTGGTGTCAGTCACAATTTCCACTGCAGCGACTTGTCCAGTAGCCATTAGTAAGGCACTTGACCTTCTTTCTTTTTTTTTTTCTTTTTTGAGACGGAGTTTCGCTCTTGTTACCCAGGCTGGAGTGCAATGGCGCGATCTCAGCTCACAGCAACCTCCGCCTCCTGGGTTCAGGCAATTCTTCTGCCTCAGCCTCCTGAGTAGCTGGGATTACAGGCACGTGCTACCATGCCCAACTGATTTTTTGTATTTTTAGTAGAGACGGGGTTTCACCATGTTGACCAGGACGGTCTCGATCTCTTGACCTCGTGATCCACCCACCTCAGCCTCCCAAAGTGCTGGGATTACAGGCGTGAGCCACCGCACCCGGCCCCTTCTTTCTTAAATGAATGAATTATTCGCTAAGTTTTATTACCACCTACTCCCTTAGCAAACTCTGCTTAGTTTTGTGGATTAATATTATATAATAAAACAAACCTATCTACAAATTTTGAAACATCTTTTATGTGATTCTGTGCTCTTGAGAGTGACCACAGTGGTCATATTGAAAGGCACTATACATCAGAATTGGACCAGTATATTTACAGGATTAAGGATCTGGGAAAAAAAAAAATAGTTTTTTCAGGCTTTGCCCGAAATTTGATCATATTAAAGGCTGGCCTTGATTTCCTTCCCATGCTGATAGAGGGAGATCAAACCGTGCTCTTTGAAGTGACTGTAAAGTACATGCCATTCACAAAATCCAGGCTTACCCTTTTCATTCGACGGCAGTGGGAAGTAAGTATTTGGTTATGTGAAATCACCTCACATGGAAGAAATTAGTCTCAAGTTCCCTGTGAGTAGGAACATCGGCATTTGTGGCATGCACAGTTGGGTGCTGTTCCGATTATCAGAAGGTCCTCCTTCATTGCTCTTTATGTTTTATCCTCCATTTAAATTTGTTTTAGTTGCAGTGATCTAGAGAGGCTTGAAAGATATTTGTGGAGAAATAATGGTTTTGTATTTATTTTTTAGCTTGTGTTGATTCCATGTGTTTTGAAAATATCCCAAAGCAGATCTAGGCAAGCTGTTTTTTAATGAGTACTTGACATACACACCCACATGAATAGACAGGCATGTTCCCACAAAACTCACAAAAGATTTTCAAATAAGGGTTCAGGTTTTAATTACATTTTAAAGGCAAGGGACACGGTGAATGGGCTGATACTATATCGTTTGAGAACAGCTCTTCAGGTTTCTTCCATGTGAAGTGACTTCACATGTGAAGAACTCTGCTTTCCTGCTCATCTTCCTGGGTTAGGACCCCCCTATAAGTGCCCCCAGAGCGTCAGAACCTCCCCTTCTCTGCCGCCCACTGTTGTACACTGATGCCTGTGTCTTGAGAGGGAGTACACTCAGGAAGGCTGGGCACTGTGGCCTGCCCTGTTCAACGGTGAATACCTAGAATCCAATGATGGGTACACCTTGATTGGAACTGGATGATGGAAGATGGGTAGAAAGGATAGATGCTGAATGGATGGATGGGTGGATGGGGTGGGATGGGATGGGATGGATGGATGAATGGATGGATGGATGGATGGGTGGATGAGATAGATGGAAGATGGGCAGATGGATGAGATGGATTGATGGATGGTGAGTGGATGATAAACGCTTTAATAGAGAATGGATGGATCAATGGGATGGATAATGAATGGATGCATATGAGTCTGTGAGTCAGCATGGTTTAAAGAAAGACACATAGGACTCAGAGTCTTAAGAACCTAGTTCACATCCTTATACCTATGCTTATGAGCTGTGTGACCTTAGAGAAGTCTCCTAACCTGTGTGAATGTTAGTTTCTCCATCTCTAGTGTAGGAATGGCTTACAGAGTTGCCATAAAAATCACAAGAATGAAAGTATTCTCTGTGCAGATGTCAACGATTACTACCATCTGTTGAGGACTGTGTCTGTGATTTAATCCTGAGCTTGACTTCCCTTTAAGCTGTGTCTTTCCATGGGAAGGCCGAGGACGGGGCGGGAGTAAAAGCAGCCCCCTTCGCTGCCCTGGATGATGGTGGATGGTGGTGGTCCTGCTTGTCAGTGCAACCAGATGGCCATCCACAGATCCTGGTGTCTGTCTCTTCCCAGCTGTGATGGCCTTCCTCTTTGACCTGAAGGACTTGGTGGACCTCATGTCTATTGGCACCCTCCTGGCTTACTCGTTGGTGGCTGCCTGTGTGTTGGTCTTACGGTATGTATAGCTTTTTGGGGTTTCATGACAGAAATACAGAATGGAGGCACCTGATAGCCTTTTCACAGTTCAGCTATGGTTTACGTGATGAAACTTTTAAGTTGGTGATAGCTCCACTGGGAGCTGCCAAGGAAAGGGTAGGACCTAGGCTGACAGCCCAGTTAGAAAGACGTCCTTGGCAAAAGTTGGGGTGCCCCTCACCCTCCTCTATCATGTGCCCTCATTTTTCTGGCTAGATGTTGGGTAGATGGAGACAGGTTCTCAGCTCAAGTATTAGACCAGGATCCAGGGATCGGAATTTTTGAAGACTGATTGCAACTTGGTTCCAATTCTTGAGACAGACAGGATTGAGGGCTGCCTTGGTAGGAGTTAGGAAAACCCAAGGCCTGTGAAACCCAGGTCTGTGTGATGCTTCTGTGGCTTCGTTGCACTGTGGCTGGAGGAATGAATCCCACTGTGTGGCATGGGCACCCAGGTTGATGTTCAGGGTCACTGTCGAGGTCGGCTTGCTGTAGCCCGGTTGGGGCCAGGCAAGCCTCTTGCAGTTGCAGTAAAGCTGCTCTGGGCCTGGGCTTGGTGCCTTGGTGTTCCCACCTGCCCCAGCACGCACTCCCAAAGCACAGCCCTGGCAGCATTCATCCTGAGAGCCTGTGCTCACGGAGACACTCAGTACTGGTCTCCCCTTACGAGCCTCCTTGTTTCTCTTCAGGGATCTCCACCTGCAAGGCCGTTGATTGCACGTCCAACTTGCTCAGCAGCTGATGTACATAAAACCCAGGCTGAGCCTTAGCAGTAGCTCTGTAGAATCAGCTAAGACTATTGGGGACCCCTTATTCCTCCTAAGGAGCCCAGTGCTAGAGTAGTCTCTGAGGTCCCCCACTTTCTTAATTGACCGAGTGGTGTTGCACAAGGGAATCAGTGGAAAAATGGTTAATATCTTTATACTCCCTCTTAGAATTGATCATATGCAAAATAATTCATACAGCACTCCTTTTTCAAAGCTGGTGGAAAGGATTTGCACTCTGTTCGTTTTGGGTGGGAAGATAAGGAACCTCATTCAGAACGGATGCTTCACTGGCAGGTATCTCGTGTCTTGGAAGTCATGCTACAGGCTTGGCCCTCCAACCAGCCACATACAATGATTTACTCCAGGGTGCTTGGCGTTTTAAAAATAACTTGATCCAATTAAGTCACACAAACAGAATTTCTCAAATCCATCCGCCTGCAGCCACATGCCTCTGGCTCTTGGTGCCAAATAGGATCCTGGTGGTGTTCCTGCTTTCTATTTCTGTCCTTCCTTTTAGCTCCCTACAGCTGTAGTTTTGTGGGAAGTGGCCTAGTCTCTTTAGCATCTGAGGGCCACTGCCACTTCTCTCGGGGTATTCCTTGGGGTTGCTCGTGGTGGAGCTCCTATTGCCTGGAACCAGACCATGGAGGATGCCCTGCAGAAGCAAGAGCAGGAGGTGACCTTCCCAGTCGCCTCTTCGTCTGCAGTGCCGTCTCTGACTATCTCCTTCCCATTTCATACCTCATGTCCCAGGCAGCTAACTTTGTAGTTTTATAGAAACTTACTTTGTAGAACGTGGGTTGGTGCATTGCCCTTTTGCTTTAAGTGGATAATGGTTGGTCACACAATACATTTCTTCCCAGGTATCAGCCAGAGCAACCTAACCTGGTATACCAGATGGCCAGTACTTCCGATGAGTTAGATCATGCGGACCAAAATGAGCTGACTAGCACCAGTGATTCCCAGCTGGGTTTTTTACCAGAGGCAGAGATGTTCTCCTTGAAAACCATACTCTCACCCAAAAACGTGGAGCCTTCCAAAGTCTCTGGGCTAATCGTGAACATTTCAACTAGCCTCATAGGTAAGAGCTAGCCCTTCCCTGGGGCCTCGCTTGTTGGCACTGCGTGGTTTCTAGGCAGTAGAGCGGGAGTCGGGGGAAGGTGCCAGAGAAGAGCATCTGCCTTGCTCCTGGACTGAGGCATAGTTACTCTGTGCTAACTGTAGTTGATGCCTTTGGAAATGGAGCCTCTCTCTCCACAAGTTTTGGGGAGAGCAGCAGATGCTTGTGGGAAACTGAGAAATGGCTGAGTTGCAGCTCGCTCTGTCTCTTCTTCCCCGTTAGCTGTTCTCATCATCACCTTCTGCATTGTGGCCGTGCTTGGAAAGGAGGCTCTCACCAAAGGGGCGCTGTGGGCAGTCTTCATGCTTGCAGGGTCTGCCCTCCTCTGTGCCATGGTCACGGTTGTCATCTGGAGGCAGCCCGAGAGCAAGACCAAGCTCTCATTTAAGGTGAGCAGCTCGGCCTCATGGGTCTGTGGCAGGGAAGGAACCCTGGTACACCGACCCCAGCTCTGCACAGGCTCAGCTGGGCCCGGGTGCTCCCGACGAAGGTGTTTGCCAGCCAGTTCAGGCACTGTGGGACAGGGGCCCTGAAGGCACCGAGAGGACTGGACCCTGGAAGGAGGTAGCCCTCCTCCCCTGGCTCTCCGGTGGTGGGACGCTTCTTGTAAATGTCTGCCCAGGTTGATCGCATGACTTTTCCAAGCCTTGGAGACGGGCAAGGCTTCTACATGTTTAGATTACACAAATAATAAAACAGACCTTAGAGGTAAAATGGAGGTCCATCTTCTAGTCCTTTCTTCAGCGGGAGAATCATAAGAGAGGAAAATCATAATGGAGCTCACTTGGCCACTCAGAGCTTAGAACCAAATCCCCACCTACTAGGATTTACCCTTGGGTTTGTGTGTGGAGAGGGGGTGTTGGGCTGTGAGGGTGGGCACGCACTCTCTCTTCCCCACGCTCACCCGACTGTCCCCATCACTCTCAGGCGTGCTGCCTTTTGCTAGACAGTGTTACTGAACTGTTGGAACTGGCGCCACTGCCGCGGATTGATGCCGCCTCCTGTCTCTGCAGGTTCCCTTCCTGCCAGTGCTCCCCATCCTGAGCATCTTTGTGAACGTCTATCTCATGATGCAGCTGGACCAGGGCACCTGGGTCCGGTTTGCCGTGTGGATGCTGATAGGTATGTGATGCTGCCGCCAGCACGTCCACAATCCTGGCTTCTCTCGGGGGCCTCCCTTGTTTCAGGATTTATAACACAGTGACACACATGCAGTCAGCAGCTTTCTCAAAGATAATGCTGAATCCCTGGTAGGTTGTGAGTCCTCTCCTCCCTGTTAGATACTTTTTGTTTTTATTGCCCCTTGCCCAAACTATTTACTCTCTTGGGCAAGACCTTAATATTTATTAATAGGAACAAGGTGATGCGTCAGCTGCAGATAAGGTACCAGTTATTTTCACCCCAGACAGGAAAGTCTGGCCTGTGCCTTTTGGACCCCTGGCCTGCCCAGCACCAGATTGGTATGGGCACGAGGCCCAGGCAGGGGTAGGTGTCATGGGCTCCTCTGTGATGGCGTCTTCTCTGGGAAGGACGGTGCTTTGGGGCCTATGGGACATGCCACTGGGGTAGGAGCTTCTACATGAGCTAGATGACCAGGGCTGGGTGCAGCCCGTAGGGCCAGCTGAGTCCCACCCCTCTAGGCATCTCACCCCAGGGCCTGGAGGAGAGGGACTCATTTCTTTCCTCTCAGCATCTGAGTGGTAGTGCTGGTAGCCAGGGATGTGGTCCTTGCTGTTGCCCCTCAGGACCATGTCCCCACAGCCTCCCAGCCCTGTTTGCATGCTGTGGGCAGACGGCTGCTGCCTCATTTCCCAGGACCCTCGAGGGGTGCTTTTCCTCCAGAAAATACCGAGCGGCCCATTTTCTGCTGGCACCAAGGTGGGTCCTCATTCTCTGCAAAGTGCAGCCCATGTCTAGTTAGACATCTCCTAGAGTGTTTCTGAGAAAAAGCTGCTCACAGCCCACTGTGGCCACTTCCTCAGGGCCTGGTGAAGGCAGAGGGTGCCTCTTCCCAACATCCCTGTAAAGTCCCCATGTTCAGGAGCCTGAGCTCCTTTCCTGGGTTTTGCGTGGCTGAGTCCTTGCTTTGAGGCCTGCTTTCCTGTCTCAACCACACAAGGTGGCCCTGGGGCCATGTGGCCACAGTCCCCGGGCAGGTGGTTAGAAGCATAGGTCCTGGACCCACCCAAGTCCTGGGTGCAGGAACAGACTGTGGACTCCTGTGTAAAGTCCATTCCCAGGGCTCAGTGTGTCTCTTACAGTCTGATGGTCAGTTGCATGGAGGAAACGGGGCAGTGGGATTGTCCAGGCTGAGAGCCTGGAGACCTCCAGCACCTGCAGGAAATCCCGTCTCCATAGTGCACATTCCTGATACTCTCGTGGCCTCAGGGGGCAGGAGGGGGTTAAGGTGAAGGACCCAATGGCTTCTGGTGGCCCTGGCCCAGCCGCTCTGTCTGCTCAGGAAACGCCGCAGCATGAGGCCATCCAGAGGAATGTAGGGCTTTGCCCGATGTAGAGGCAGACAGTGGCCTTCATATGGCAGCTGCTCCAGATGTGGAAACGTCCCGAGGGCTGCTGGCTGCGGGCTCATGCCAGCAGGAGCAGGCCGCCTGAGAGGGTTTGCTATGGGGCTGCCCTGGGCTCCAAGCCCTGCCTGCAGTGGTGTAGCCGGCACGCTGTTCATGCCCGTCTCTCCTGTCGGCCCGCAGGCTTCATCATCTACTTTGGCTACGGCCTGTGGCACAGCGAGGAGGCGTCCCTGGATGCTGACCAAGCAAGGACTCCTGACGGCAATTTGGACCAGTGCAAGTGACACACAGCCCCGCCCCCCAGAGGTGGCAGCACCCCCGAGGGATGCCCCCAGAGGACTGGGAGGCACCCCACCCTCCCTTCCAGTGCAACAGGAATCACCCGCACCCACACCCCCACTGTAGCCGAAGGTGCAATTACTTGAACTGCAGCCCCAGCCCACTCTAGGCTCTGCAGCTGGCTCTCCAGGCCCTGGTCACCTCCAGACAGCTGCCTGGCCAGGGCCACTGGGCTGCGGCTGGCCACTGTGTCTCTTCACTTCTCTGAACAGAGAGAGCAGGTCCTCTCCTACCAGCTCAGCCCCGAGCTGCTGCAGCCTCAGGCAGAGTGGAGGTCACCTTGTCCCCTTACCTTGGGAACCAGGCCTTCCTCCCCGGGGACCGTTCTGGGGTTGAAATTCTGCATACTCCAAATTTTAGCAGCCATCTTCCTGCTCAGTCCCAAACACCCAGCAGTCAAGCCAGATGAGTACCACAAAACAGTGTGTCCCCACCAGCCCCCCACCCGCAGAGCCAAACGATGGTAGTACACTTAAAAAGGAAAATCAGGCCTGCGGTTTTTCCCCGTTGGGTTCAGATGGGTCGTTAGGACTGGACCTGGCCCACCCCTCGGCTTCTGAGGGCTTTGCTGTGACACCACGGCAGCCGCCCTGGGGCTGGGCAGCAGGGCTGAGGGCAGCTGGTTCCTCTCAAATGAGGAAGAAAGGATCACTCCCATTAGGGCTTGGCGGGGGGTGGCTGGCTCTGCTTGTCCGTGTGTGTGCACGTGTGTAAACCAGGGACCTCCTTCAGCCCACGCCCTCCAGGCCTGGGCCGGTTCTTGCTGCTCCTGCCGTCTTCTCCACCGGCTGTGTCCTGAGTAACTGGAACGTGAGACTGTACCTGGGTGGGCCTGTCCTCACGAGGCAGAGTTGGGGATTTTCCTGTGAGTCGCTGCCGCTTACTCAGTCTTGCTCTCCCATGCTTGGAACCAGTCTGTTGGCTCTTTTGAGGTTCTCAAGGTGGGTGGCAGCTCAGCCCAGGGTCATGACATGTTGGGTCATGGTGTTTCTGGCCCTGACATGAGCTGCCCAGCCTCTTTGTTATGTATGATGAAATTGAAATCAAGCCACAGCCCATGAAATTGTGAATCACTCCATCAGATTACGTTAGGGCATAACGTTAACTTGGAAATGGCCACGTCATCACTCCCTGTGGTTGGCGTATTGCTGAGGTGCTTGGGCCATCGGGGAGGTGATTTCCAGGTATATTGTTGTCCCTTCTGTGTGTCCGTCATTCAGATGCTGCGGACCCCACGCCTCCGCAAGTGGAAGGGTCCGGAGCATCCTCCCCTGCCTCTCTTGCCTGGGTCAGGGCCTGCAGCCAACACCATTTCACACACTCCTTGTAGATGGAAGCCAGAGGAAACCTGGAAGCGAGTAGAGCCCTACTTCCATTTAGAGTATAATTCAAGAGACAGAAGGCTGATGGGGGAGGGAGAGGGAGGTGGGCACTTTGGACACCAGGGGAAATGGAAATCCTGCTTTCAAAACTCAGTTTCTGTTCCATTTCTTTCTAATCTGCCCTTTGACGCAAATCTGGTAGAAAGAAGCCTGATAAATTGAGGGCCCTTATGCTCTCCCTGTGCCAGAAGACTCTCGGAGAGAAGTGTGAGGATCTGTGAACTCGCCAGCGGAGAGCGGATGGGCGGCCTCGGGCTGGGCCTCCGAATCAGTCCCGCTCACCTTGCTGGGAGCTTTGTTCTGATCTCATTTTGAAAGTTCCAGAGGGAGCGTCATAAGAGCCCAAAGCTCCGATTTCCAAAGAGAGGTATTGACATTTATGTAGATTGGTGCTGTAACATATTTTGATAAATACTAACTTATTTTGTTGGGGTTTTGATTGTCTCTTGTCCTAGGACCTGGTAGTTAATTTGCTTGATTTTTTTTTCCTGTTATTTTCTACATAGGTAAAGAAAACTCAAGGGAAGGAATTTCCAAGAAAAGTTAAAGTGGTGGGAGAGAGAGTTGCTTTTTCTTTTTTTTTAATTCTAGTTTTTCTTTCTGGCTGAAATTTCCGTGCAAGACAGTACCCAATAGACTATTTAGAGTTGACACTTGAGCGGGCGCCATGGATCATTCTGTAGATTGAGAGGGTGTGTCTCCCCTGCTCCGAGTCCTATCACGGGAGCTCGCTGACAGCTGGGAGTCGGGCCTTCCTCATGCAGAAGCCTTACAGCTCAACGCGGAAGCACGCCCAGCTCGGCAGGGATGGGATCCCCCTGCACCCCTGCCTTAGAGGACGGGCTTCCTAGTTAGGGAAGGGCACGTGGGATGCCTTGCATAAATAGTTCACTGGCCATGGTGCTTTTATGAGGAGTTTTTTTGTACAGTTGCCAGGGGGTTTCTCTGCTGCGTGTGAGGGCAGTGATGTAAGTCATGGTGTTTGGAGTAAGCCTCACAATTTTAATAGACTTTTTTCTTTTCACATCCCTCATTTCTTTCCCTGAAGTAAAAATACACACAGTGAAAAAAATGATAGTTTCACATCTCTTAGTTCCCTTGCCTAAACGAGAATATTCTTAGTTCCACGGCTGGCCAGGATTTTCCTTCGTAGTCAGAACTCCCACATTACTAGAGGCACACCGGCCAAGGGAGTATTGTGTCTGCTTTTATCTGTGCACCAGCCACAAATACCCACATTGGAAAGACCCATTTGTGATGGGTAAGCATCCCTTCCTGTCTCCCACACCCCCATGACCACCCTGCATGTGCTCATGACCTCCAAAGGCCCACACTCACGAAGCGGCAAACCCAGCAGCTCCCCGGGCCCCCTGCCTCAGGACCTCTGCTGAAGAGAGGGATCAAGGGGGTCTCCAGAGAGGCATCAGGGGATTTGTGGGCGGCTGGCTCGGGAGCCAGCTTACAGGAGGGTAGCTCTGTGGTGGGGAGGGACGCCCTCCGGAGACCAGGCCTCTGCGCGTCCCTACCCTCCTTAACCTGCTCACACCCTCTTGGCCAAGGCTTTGTGTACCAGGTGGTTTTTTTTTTTTTCCCCCAAATCTAGAGGTTATCAGATCTCACCCCACTGTTGGTTTTGTTTTTGCAGCAGCAAAAACTCTCTCTCCACTTCGGCTTTCATCTCTATCAGGCAACCAGCCACCTGGTCCCGTGTGCTGACTCTAGCACAGTGGCCAGGATCCGATGTAAGTCCAGGGGTGACCGCAGGACGGTGGAGGCGGCGGGCTTCTCCACCCATCCCAGCTGCCAGGGCCCTGATTGATGCACTCCCTCCTGCCCCTTCAGCACATCCGTGTGCACAGCTGGAGGGGCACCTGGCCTGCCCACCTTGGTCCAGACCCGTGGAAATGCTGGGGATGCCAGCTCTCCCCCGCCTTGCCCCTGCCACTGAGCAGGCATTAACCGACTGGTGTTTGCAGTCCCACATGGTGTAACCTCCAGAGCAGTGAGTTCCAGAGGAGGGGCGTGTGGACCTGCCCCATAGAGGCCCCACCCAGGCTTACAGGGCCAGGTCTTGGGCACTGTGTGACACAGGACTCGCCACTAGCGCAAGCCTGCCTGGCTCTGCCAGGGCCCCTCTCCTGATTCACACATCCCATTTTTGCACAAACCCTTCCTTCTTAAGAGCTGACAGCTCTGTTGGCACCCAAGAACCCACACCATGAACAGGGAGGGGCCTTTGTGCCCAGGCCCAGCACAGATGCGTTCTGGAGTGAAGGCGACGTGAGGCTTGTGTGTGGAATGGTTGTGGAGTTCGCCTGCAGACCGATCTGAATATATGTCATGTATAATTGTTATGTGTAATTTAAGATATGTTTGCCATCGTCATGGGAAGATATGTAAGGCTCTTGAGGGAGAGGGAGGTGTGCATGCTGTCAGGCTCCTGTGGACTTTGTCCTAGTAATGAAATGCTCTATCGATCTAGTGGTGCAAGAAGCTACACTCCATGTGTCGTCACACTTAGGAATGACGCCTAATGGATTTTTAAGGCAAAAGCTGTCAGCCGACATCCATCATCGTCCCTCGCATCCAGTCTTTCCGTGCCAGTGCTTCAGAGCCACAGCACTCTCTTGCCATGGAGACTGGCTGGGCCTGGCGTCTTGGGGCTCACTTTCCATGGAGCCCTCCTGGATCACTCTACAAATGTGCTGAGTGCCAGCTGAAAACCCCACAGGAGATGGAGTTACCTTGGTCAAACTTAAAAGATTTTCTCAGGGTATTTACCAGTGTGTCCAGCAGGTCAGGAAGCAGGGATGGAAAGACGCATTCAGACTGCTAATTTATTAACAAGGCAAATGAGTTCATGTTTCTTGATGACAAACTATTAAGTTTGGGACTTATTTTCCCATTCGAGAAGTTATAATATATATTTAAGATAAGTTTCCTGCTTAAGTTGTGCCTTTCAGCTTCAACGAGTTTAAGGAGCACTAAGGGTAATGATACCAATGAGGGTTGGTTTATTATCAAACCTGAATAGCTGTGGTTTCTCCAGCAAATGTTTTCTTCTACTGAACATGGAGCCATTATTAAGAGTTGTGTGTTTTTTTAATTATGTACATTTGTATATTTTTTTGCTTGTTTGATGTTCTATTTTTCTAATAGTTTTCTTATAGTTTCCTAAAGTTGCGACACTAGATGTAGATTCCGATGCTAACCGCAAATTAGGCTGGCCTCTGCTGGGTCTCTCCTGCTTTTATTTCACTGTAAGGACAGTGTAGTTGTCGTCCACCACCTTTCAAAAAATGTGAAACTGCCTTGCCCACGCCCCGCCCCCCCCCGCCTTTTTGCTGACATCACTATGTACATTGACAACTTCCTACCATACTTTATGTTATAAAATCAAACTATTTTGTGGTACATTATCTCATGCTTCCGCAAATTCTAATAAATTCTGTCTATGGCTTCCATGTGCATGGTGTGATCTCAAGAATTCTAGCAGGTGTCTGCTGGGTCCCAGACCTGACAGTGCCCCAAGAGTTCCAATCCCACCCTGCTTCCCCACAGCCCATGACTTTAGTCCCATCTTCTCACTTTCCTGCCATTTGGAAATGAAATTCTCATTCCAACAGTTTGAGCCTCAACCAGGGAATCCCTTGAACCCCCATTTTGGATGCTCTGATATCATCTCCAGATTTGTTTGGCTTTGGGGCCACAGAGGTCTTCCTGCCAACCAAGCTGCTGGGGCAAAGCGACTCAGAGGCTGCCAGTTGTCAGGCATTTGCTGACGGACTTGGTCTTCGGCAGCAAAACGATATTACCCATTGCCGCCCCGGCCTGTGCTGGCCTGCACACACACCATCCCGTTGGAGGAAGCAGAGGGCAGAGGGGCTGGGGTGAGGAGTGTAGCCATTTTGGTAATTGTTGCTCTCTGACTCCCTCAACTCCCTTGAGAAAGGATCCATTTTTCTGCACAGGAGACAGACTCCATCAAGTGGGCCTTGATTTCCAGACAGTAAGATGCAGTGGTTCACAGCAGCTATACCAGCAGATCTGCTGCGCACAAGAGAAGGTCTGACCTTTTTGAGTTTTGTCAGCCGATGGATGGTGCTGAAGGCAGACAGGGAGCCGTGTGAGGAGTAGGGCCGGCGAGCTGCTCTCTGGTCCTCAGCTTGTCTGTGATCTGGAATACATGATGAGCATGTGCACCTGAGAGCATCAAGCAGTTTGTATTTGTTGGCCACAGAGAAAATCAGACCGCAGAACTTGCGAGGTGTGGAAGCAAGGCTGTGCAGCATGTCCCAGGGACACGGGGTAGGCATGGTCTCTGGCCCAGTGTGATTACTGCAGGAGGTTCTGCTAATGCAGAACTGGATCCACAAAAGGGGGCAGCGTCCCAAAGCAGCCCAGAGAGCCCGATGGGCTCCAGAATTGGGAAATAAGCATGGAGCGTACCTTGATCCTGGATTTTTGCAGGTGTCCTGTAGGACAGAGACCTCTGGTCCCCGAGGATGACTTTCAGCCAAGTGCAAGGTGAACCCCAGTTCCCACAGCGCCACACTGCCACCTAGTGGCTCTGCTTGGTGCTGCGAAGGCAGCTTGAAAAGGCCATGCCAAGAGCCGTCTCTTCGAAAACCCTGATGCATGGTTCTTCAAGGCCCTGTGGGACGATGCCAGGCTGGAGGCTTGAGAGGCACCACCTGGAGAAAGTTTCTGCTTGTACAGTTTGGTTATGAAGCACCTCTGGTCAATTAAAAGCTGCCCCCAAATGGCATTCACAGCAACAAGGAAGCCTGTGGAGCCACAACCTGGGATGCTGGCCCTGCCTTTCAAACCCAGCTTCCAGCCCACCCTTGCTCAGACACCACACGGATCTGGGCAGGGTCTGGGACTGCGGGGGCCGGGGGTGGGCTGGAAACAACTACAGATCATCCCATCAGCCCCCGTTCAAAGGGAACAGTTCAGTTTTACCAAATGAATCCTGTCCACCCAGCCATAAATACAGCCATTTAAAAAATGCAGTTTGAAGAAAAGCCGCTGGGAATGAAACAGGCAATATCTTTGCTAATGAGGGGAACAGCTTTTTGGCTCTTGGTGTGGCAGAGCACCTAATTCCAGTGGAATTGGGACTGCATGTGGAAGAAAAAGCTGTGGCTGGGTGGGACCTTACCGGGGATGCTTTTAAGTTCTCCTTGAAACAATGCACCTGATGAGTGTCGGCTGGTTCAGAAGCACTGTTCCCACCATGAGGGAGGTGGGGCGAAGCCCAGTGCCTGCCACGTGAATTTGGTGGTGGTGCAGTCATGCAAGAAGGCAGCACGAAGGGGCAGTGGCTGCGTGGCAGGGGCTCTCTGGATGCCTGTGGTGTGGGTGCCACAGAGGGAGGAGGCATGGGCCCCCAGGAGGTCTGTACACATGTACACTGCAGGGCTGTCTGAGCTCAGAGCTGCAGGGCATCCCCACCCTGCCTGGTGCTGGCACTGGAAAAAAAATTCCCGACGTAGTGAGCAAGGAAGATTGGCCTGCATCATCACGCTGCGTTGAGAGTGACCCGAGCCAGGCCATCAGAAACACCAGATGTCTGTCTTGGTTTGGGGGCAAGAGGTTTGAGAGATGCAGACTGGCTAACAAAAACATTTGGCAAATGTAAGTGAATTGTGAATTAACACACACTGTGCCACCAGAATGACTTACCAGCCTTTGGTTGTGTGTGTATGTGTGTGTGCGCGTTTGACAGGCTCTCACGTGAGCAGGAGCCTCACCACTTGTGGTCATGGATGAGGTCACAGTGCAATCCCAGAGTCACGGCTTGAAGCGTTAACACTGACACAGCAATGGCTTTGAGAACAGCCTTCGACTCCAGTCGCAGGTGGAAAGCTGTCCAACTGTTTGGCTTCCCCTCATGCTTAACTCTGTAACTCCCTTCTTGCTAGGGTGATACAAGCCTCCCACACAGGGAGAGCCAGGCTCTCCAAGGCTCTTGGCACAGAGGAGGTCAGTGAGTGAGCTGACTTCCAGAGTCTCCTCTGTCTACTGCAAATTAGCTGTGGAAGGGGATGCTGCTCTCCAGGGACAGTGGAAAGCTGGCTCTAATCTCACCTCCTGCTTGTGCCAGTAGCTGCCACCTGCCTTGTTCCCTGTACACGGTGAGTTAAGGACAATAGGAGGAGGTCATTATGAAAGCGAAGGGCACACAAGACACCTCAAAAGAAACAAATGGGTTAGGACACGTTGCCAGGTAGATTATTAAGAATTGCCATCAATACCCTGGGAGGCCTGGATGACCCAGAGGTGGCCTTGGGGTGTTCCCTGTGAGGTCCAGAAGTAAACTGTGTCGTCTACAAAGGGTCTGTTCGGTAATTGTTTAGGAGGGACTTGCAGAACTCTAAAATAGCCACTCCCACACACCCTGCAAACCACCACAGGGAACCTGCGAACCCGGGCTTCTCCCTTGTTACCAGTGCCAGGCACCTGTGGGACACTCCAAGGGCCAGCTGGCTAAACCGGCTGCAGTCCAAACTGAAGGCCATCGGGATGAGGGGAGCAAGCACTTTTGGGTTGAAATGAATGAATGACCTTTTTTGTCCGCTTTCCAGCTGACTCCAGTACACCCTGGCCTTGCAGAGCAGAGGCACTGACCTCCCAAGTCCAGGGGAGGGGCTGCTCAAGCCCCCCAGGCTGGAAGGGTGGGTGCAGGGACCTGCGACCTGCTGAGTCTGGGAAAGGGGATCTCCAGACTTCTTTCATGGATGAGCACCCGACCCTGGCACACACCAAAAAGGAGTCCAGCCTGCAAACACCCCCACTTGCCTCCCTGCCCGGGATCCCCAGCCTGAGAGGGACAAGTCTCCAGTTACATCAAGTAGATATCACAGAAAGTCCCTCAAGTTTATTTTAATAGGCTTTAGTTAAACACATATATGCAACACAAACCACAGGGGCAGGAAAAAAGATGTTGTGACCCCATTCATTCAACTAATCATGGCTGGGGCCGCCCCCATCCCTACCTGTTCCGACGCTCAACCAGAACCTTGTCCCAGCATGTGGTGGCCAGCGGTGGGGGTGGGGGCAGGCTGCCCACACATCTCCCAACGCCACAAAGAGACGAGTTGTATCTGGTGGGTCTGTCTGAGGCAGTGCAGAGGCTGCAGCATCCAAACGTGGAAACGTCACTCCAGCCTGGAAGGGGACAGAGGTGGACGCCATGTGGAGAGAAATGGAATCCTGATGGCGTGGCGGGTGGGGGTGGAAGAATCGAGGAGGAGGCACAGCAGCTGCCACCCCATGGCTCAGATGAAGAGCCATACATGATGGGTGTCCACGACAAAAAAAAAAAAAACCCCAAAAAACAAACAAACAAAATGAAACCAGGGTCATGTGGAAATTAGCCCAAGTACCCAAGGTCAGGGTGGATTAGGGCAAAGCTCTCACCAAAGTTCACCTAATGAGGAATTACTTAATGCTAACAATGCTACAACTCTGACCACAGCAGCCTAACACACTGTTCCACGTTCTAGCATCACACGGAAGTTGGTATTGCTGTGTAACTGCATTTAGCAGGTGCGGCTATGTAAGCAGTTCCTAATTCGGACAGCTAAGCTGTAACCGAATTTGTGTTTGCAGGTTGTTCCTGCTACAAGAATAAATAATTGTGTACTTGGTCAATGTGGCATGATCTACTCTAATGGAATGCCCAACTCAATATCACAGTATCATGCAGAGCCACTAAAGCAAAGAGAAATAGTGCTTCCATGTGGATTTACTGTGTACGTCCCCAGAAGGAGCAAGACCCTTGGAGGTGTGCTGGAGATGTACCTGAGGCCCGGCAGCCCAGCTTGGACTCATGCTAGGGCCAGGGACCGTGTCTGCCTTCGTGCCGGCCACACATGTGCCGAGTAGGCGTGCCCTGGACAAGCCGTCCTCATCCTCGGGCTGTTTCTTCCCTGCTCCATGGCTCCGGCCCCTGCAGAACCCCCTCATGGTTCTTCTCATCTTGGGCATGCTCAAAGACAGGCCTGTGCTCAGGATAATTCTGGGGGGCCTCAGAGAGATAGTGCAGGGTCTTTGTCATATACAAGGAAACAAGGGCATCATCATCATCACCGTATGTGTTAAAACTACTTCTTCCTTTTGTGTATCATGCTCCTAATCTTCCACAACACTACATGAGTACTGGTTACATCCTAATTCTACCATTTTAGAGACACGTGCCAGTCCAGGATGTGCTGCCTGGCTGGCTGCTTCACTGCGCTCCTCTGTCTGGGAGAACCTTCTGGCTCTAAGATGGCAGCAGGGTCAGCGGTAGCACTGCCTGATCATCCAGCAGGAAGTGCAAGTGGGTTTCTGAGTGGTCATGTGATGGTCCAGCACAGCTCAGAACTGGTCCCCTAGGACAGAAAATGGTGTTTTTCCCAGATGCCCCTGCTAGAACCCCTGAGCCACCTCAATGTGCAGCGAAGGGATTGAGCTGTAGAACCAAACTGAAAGGGGGACTGCTATGAATCGGGGGCCTGAGGGTCATATTTCAATGAGTTGATCATTTACAGCATCGTATCAGAGCAAACCACATGGAAAGCTGGCGTGACGGTCCCACTCTGTGCCTGGTCAAAATACAGACCCTAGCAGCAATTTCCTTCAGGAGGATGGAGCGTGAACGGGCGCGGTCACCCCAAGGCCATCCTCACTCTCACTCAAAGGTCTTGCTCTGCCTTGTTTTCCCGAGGGTGCAACAGTAGCTGAATGACCGAGTCTGAGATGCCGTTTTTGGGAAAAAAGCAAAACTTGAGTTTACAAGACTATTGGAGATGAGTCACTGTCATAAGTCACATCTGAAAAGCTGCTAAACCCCCTTCGGGTTTCCCACGGCTCTCCCTGATCCACTCATGACAGGAGTATCAATAATTAAACCTTGCGAATGGAAGAATAGTGACCTCATATCGTGTTGACTAAGAAGCTGATTGTTCCAAAGGCAGTTACCATTCACAAATCGCTGGTGTTCGTGTAAAGAGAGTACCACTTGGTGGTGAGTTGAAAGGCGCTTCTTCTCTGTATCTTTTTTTTTTTTTCCTTTTTCTATTTTGGGTAGAAATATTCCTGGGAAGCTAGATAGAAATGCATTTTCATTTCCCAATAATTTTTAGGCACAAGTTAGAAAACTGCTGACCTTCACCAAAATATGTCAGCACTTCATGTTATAAAAAATGCAATTCAGAACCGCCGCATGTGTATAGAATTGTATCTAAATATACACACATACCGGTGCAGTACACAAAGATTATTCAATGGATATTGAAAACTGAGCTTTTGGTAACTAACCTGAAATTCTGCAGTGAAAGTTCATTGCTCAAGAACAATTGCAAGTGTCTTTCTTTTGGCTCTAACTATGGTAAGACGTTTGCACATCAGACTTTACCGTTTACACGTTCCTAAGTGCGGACACCAGGGCAGTCTTACACGGGGATCAGAGGAGGACGCGCCTTGGAGGCATTTGCAGCTACTGAAGCATGCATTCAGGGCCCGCTCCGGCAGCACCGGGTCAGTGCTCCCTCAGGGTGGAGACAGGAGGACGAGAAGCCGGAGCTCCCGCAGGCCGCGCAGTGGCGTCATCTGGGAGTCGTGCTGACTCTGGCCGGGGAGGAGGGCCCCGAGGAGGAGCCGCGGTAAACGGGAGATGTGGGCGAGAGTTTAATCGGGCTGGTTGGGTCCCCAGTTTGGAGCTTCCAAAGCAGCTCTTCGTTGGTTCGGCTCAATCTCTTCTTCTCCTGGGTTTCCTTCTCAACATATTCCTGGAGGTTAGCATTTTCCTCCGACAGTTGTCTGCACGGGCACAATGACAATCAATCAAATGACAATCAGTCAAGTAGCAATCATGCTGGTGGACACCGAACCTGAGGTCGGGACAATGAGTGCAGGGCAAAGAGAGGAGGCTGTGATGCCCGCAAGGAGAACAGTGACCAGGGCGACCCCGTGACCGAGAACACTGGTTGAATCATGATTTCCACTTGGCCCAGTGACACATCTGTTCCCAGAACCTCTCTCGCCAACACCCATCATGTCACAGGCCCTCTGCCCGGTCAGGGGAGGCACTGCTCTGTCTCTCCACTGGAAAGAGCAAAGGCCAGTGACTGAACAGAGGGAAGTGGAGAGCTGGAGTGGGTATGCTGCCAGGAGGCCCCGAGAGGAGAGTCAGCCGCAGAGCTGACAACTGACGATGACAACAGCGCGAGGGCAGAGACAAGCTGCCGGCCTTCCTGAGCCTGCCAGGAAACTGGGGATGCCTCTTCCTGGCCTCCCTGCCCCAGGCTTGTGCCTCCACGACAGCAGGCATCCTCTCCTGCTGGAAATGCTGCTCTCTGGGTCTGTCTGCCTGCTGGACCGCAAGCTCTGGAGGACAGAAGCCAAGGCTCTGCACGCTGAACTCCAGCATCCAGCAGGTGCCAGGCACATAACAGATGCTCAGTTAATGTTTGCTGATAAAGGCTGGTAGGTGAGAAAATGAATCTGAGTTGCTTGCTTTGTTGCATTTTGAAGAAGGACAGCACCTTTGAGGAACTCACAGGAAAAATGCAGATGCATTTTAAAGCTGGACAAACTGAGGTCCAGAAAAGTGACCTCCCTGGGATAAAGTCTGCGCTTGCTCTGCTGACAGGGCACCTTTGCAGCTTCTGGAGCAGAGGAGCCTGCCGCCCCCAGCACAGCCTTTCCTATGTGCCTCTGAGGTGAGAATAAAATGCCTGCCATAGAGGCTTAGTTATGGGGGCAATGGCTGTGTGTCCATTCCTGCATGTATACAAGAGCATGTGTGTGTGAGGATGTACATGTGAGGATAAGCGTGTAAATGTGAGTGCAAATATGAGAGCATGTGGACGGGTGTGAGGGATTATATGAATATATGAGTGTGTGCATGAGTGGGAGTATGCAAGTGTGTGTGTGAGCGAGCACGCAGTGCCTGTGAGTGCATTTGAGTGTATGCATGTCCATGAGCTGTGTGTGCAAGGCTAACACACCGTGGGTGAACGCTGAGGAGCCTAGTTGAGGTGAGTGGGCGAAGACCTCAAAGTGGGCCTGGGTCTCACTGAGATGGCTCAGCCCTCATGGAAGAGCAGCTGATGAAGCCAAAACCCTGCTGTATCCCCCAAAACCCTGCTCTATCCCCCAAAACCCTGCTGTATCCCCCAAAACCCTGCTGTATCCCCCAAAACCCTGCTCTATCCCCCAAAACCCTGCTGTATCCCCCAAAACCCTGCTCTATCCCCACACTACACTGTGGGAGGGAGGAGCCTGAACACACTTCCTTGGAAGCTGGGGCGCCTCAGAGCAGAGCCCAACAGAGACAGGCAAGACCTGGAAGGAAATGGGGAATTTCTGGAAGCTGGGTTGTCAGCCAGTGGTGGCTCTCTTTTTAGCCTGGGAACACCCAGCTGGCCCTCCTCTCCCAAGCTCTTCCAAAAACCACCCCCTTCCCCTCCCAGTGCTACAGGAGGACCCTGCTGCACACTTCTGCTGATTTCACTCTTTTCTCCCCAGGGTGGGGCCCACTGATACATGGCCAGGTGTAGGCAAGGTGGCCACAGGGGTCTGTTCTTGTTCTTCAGGTCGTGGGGGAAACAGAAAGAGACTGTGGGGAAAGACTCACAGCCCAGAGTGAGGGAAACTGGGTATTGTGACAAAAAGAAACTCAAGAGGAAAGCCACTTCGTAGGTGACACCCAGCCCACCTACCTGGTGACAACTGTGTTTTGATCAATCCTTGCTTTAAGGTCTTCATTCTGCTGTTGGAGAACCTGGATCTTTTCTTCTAGGATAATGTTCTTTTCTGCCTATAAAGGATACAGTATTTACGAGGTTCTAGCAAGGCCATAAAATAGAGAGTAAACCGGTGCCCTCAGCTCTGGGCACTGGAGGATTATCGAGAAGAGCATTTTGCAAATATCAGTTTGCAATGCATTCGTGGGTTGTAAAATCAGGTTACAGGAATGTGACCAGCATTTCTTCTTTAAACGAAACAGAACAGAAAATGCCCATGTGCACCATATGTAGCAAATTTCAGATATTTTTTATTTTATATATAGAGAGTGTGTGAGTGAGTGAAAGAAAGAGAGAGAGAGAGAGAGAGAGAGAGAGAGAGAGAGAGAGAGAGAGTGTGTGTGTGTGTGTGTGTGTGCATGCTGGGTTCTGATATGAAATGTATTTCTAAAAGTGACTGTCCCCAGGCCCTTGCCATTGTCAGAGATAAACCATGAATACCACTAGGACCTCATTTGACTAATGGTCCCATGGTTCTTCCCAAAGGGTCAACCACACTGCAGCAGTACCCCTGGCCAGCATGCACGCATGACATGACATTCTGAATCCATGGAGGAGCGGAAATCTACATAATGTGTGCACGCTTTTGCCTGTTGAGGCTGTGGGCAGCCAGGAATGCAAAGCCCAAGCCCAGCTTGGTACATTACCCCAAATCCCGTCATCCATGGCTGCTACCCCCCGCAAGTGATGCCGTTCCCTCTGTTGGCATGTCCTCAAGGGCCTGAGACCTAGCTGAGTACAGTTCCAGTCTAAGACAAATTTAGAAATATCTTTTGAAAAGAATGTGACAAGTTCACTGTTAATCTAGTTAATCTTTTTTTGTTTTTGAGACAGAGTCTTGCTCTTTCTCCAGGCTGGATTGCAGTGGCACAATCTCAGCTCACTGCAACCTCTGCCTCCTGGGTTCAAGCGATTCCCCTGCCTCAGACTCCTGAGTAGTTGGGACTACAGGCACTCACCACCACACCCGGCTAGTTTTTTGTATTTTAGTAGAGACAGGGTTTCACCATATTGACCAGGCTGGTCTCGAACTTCTGACGTCATGATCCACCCGCCTCGGCCTCCCAAAGTGCTGGGATTACAGGTGTGAGCCACCACACCTGGCAATGTAGTTAATCCTTAAAGAATGTAGTTAATTTTTAAAGTTCCCTATTTGTGAAATGTTCCTTGCATCTGGAATAACTAAACCAGGGGCTCATCTAGGACCACACATTGCATTTGGTGGCCGTGTCACCTCTCTCTGGAAGCATCCCTTTTTGCGGACGTCACTTGCAGTATGGGTGCTTCTCAGTGAATGGGGCAGACCAGGTGACGCTGGATTGTCAAGATTCTGGGCAATGCTGACAAAGAGCAGGGCCAGGGGCCAGTCCTGTGGCTAGAATTCCTAAGCCCTGTTCATGGACAAGGAACCATTCATGAAAAGGGCTTAGGAATCCTAGCCACAGGACTGGCCCCTGTCCCTGCTCTTTAGCAAGGCACCTCACCCAGCCCTCATTTTTGCTGCTAGGAGTTGAAGTGATCAAGTAGGTTATTTTTTGCCTGGAAAGGTTTCTGGGATGAGAAGTGACATGGGCAGGCAGAAAGCCTGGAGCATGGCTAAAATCAGCCAAGTAAACCCAGAGGTTTGCTGGTGACCCAATGCAAATGGCCCAGCCAGGAGCAGGATAGGTGACTGCTCTCAGAGTGGCTGGTCCAGCACTGGCCGGGCTGCAAGGCAGGGTTCGGTTGGGGCAGGTGTGGTCCTGTAGCTCCCCACCGGCCCTAGGCCTGGCCTGAGCTAGGATGTCCTGGGCTGCTAGAGGGTAGAGAGTGGTCAGCATTGCCCACCTGACAATCCAGAATCTTGACAATCCAGCGTCACCTGGTCTGCCCCATTCACTGAGAAGCAAAGTGACGTCTGCAAAAAGGGATGCTTCCAGAGAGAGAGGTGACACGGCCACCAAATGCAATGTGTGGTCCTAGATGAGTCCCTGGTTTGGTTATTCCAGGTGCAAGGAACATTTCACAAATAGGGAACTTTAAAAATTGGATGAGATGATCAGTTCCTGCCTGAGACGGCAAGTGAAAGATATAAAAACACGTAGACGGTATAATACGTGGGCTCTGTGCGTGTGTGTGTGTGTGTGTGTGTGCGCGCATACACACACTGCCTTACAGCAAAAAAGTTCTGGAAAGTGTAAGCAGTGGTAGGAATATGATGTGATAACCTGCTTATTTTTGGTTTATCTTATTTCATGGTTCCCCATAGTACATATATTATTTTTGATAGTATCAAAAGTTTGTTTTTAAAGTAATAATAATAAAGGGAAAAAATAAGAATCTGAGATCCTGGGGCCAACTTCCAGACCAAGATGGGCTGCCCTGGAAGGCGGCTTCTCTGCCGCTCCCTCTGCACACCTTTCTGGGACTCTAGCCCTGGTAGGGGGGTGGAGGAGGTGCTTGTGCCCCAGGGTAGGGGGTGAAATCCTGCGTGTTCTGTGCCCCCTAGGGGGTGACTTTTGCCAGCTCTGCAGGAGCCAGGCTGGTGGGCTGAGGTGGGTGAGTGTCAGTGACAGCAGAGACGCTGTTCTGGACTGAATGTTTGTTCCCCAGAAATTCCTGTGCTGAACCCTAACCCCCAAGGTGATGGTTTAGGAGGTGGAGCTTTGGGGAGGGGATCCGATCCTGAGGGTGAGCTCCTGTGAATGAGATTTATACCCTGATAAAAAGGGCCCCAGGAAGATCCCTGGCCCCTTGGGCACTGGGCTCCTTAATGCCATCTCTGGCATCTGTAAAGCAGCTCGTGGCAGCAGCTGCTCCACAGGCAGCTGTCGGAGTTAGGAGCAGGCTCACTCAGGGAAAGTGCTCCGTGCAGTGCCTGGGCACTGGAGATGCTGCATCCTGCTGGGTCACCACATGTCCCCAGGAGAGGCCGTGGAGACAGTGCAACTGCCAGAAAACCAGGGCGAAGCAGAAAGAGGCCGCCTGTCAGGAAGGCTTCAGAGCTGGACAAGGTGAGGCCACCTCCAAGATTCCTGATCGGAGCTCCTGGCTTCCCAGGAAAGGCCAGCCATGGGGTTTCCGCTTAGGTGTAAGCAATGGCAGGTCAGAGACACACCTGGCTGAACACCATCAGCGATGACATCAGCGATGACATCAGCAATGACAGCAGGAACGCCACGGAGGTTAGTCACTCCCGAGCAAACAGACCAACTCACCAGCTTTTCCAGCTCAAGAATCTTCTTTTCCTGCTCGTGTATTTGCTGATTCTTCATCTCTAATACCTGCTTCAGACTCCTCATGTCTTCTTCCAAGTGCTGATAAGGAGCCAATGCAATCTACAGGGGCAGAGAGCCATGAGCTGTTGACCGCAGTACTAACCAGTGTCCCTAATTCAGCTAAATGTAGCTTCTGGACCAACGCCCCAATAGCAATTGCACAGCAAAGACAGAGGATGCTCGCAGCCTCCCCTGATGAAGGGGTCCTGCTAGTTCCCCACTGGGAACCCGTTCTGTGGGGGAGCAGGCGACACATGGGTATCGTCCACTGGGAAGTCTGACTCCGGAAATGCTGGATGCTGCCAGCCCATGCCCAGCAGGGAACTCATGGGGTAGAAAGAGTAAACCCAACACTGGCTTTTAACATTCACCCGGATGACTGGTAGCTGGGGCTCTTCCGGGTCCCACCTATGCCTATAAAGAGCCCATGCATAGAAAATGAGCAAAGTGGCTTAAGAAGCAGAAAAGCCATTTTAGAAAAAGACGCGTTACAGTAGTGCTGCTGGATATAACAAATTAAAATACAGTATGTCTCGTTAAATTCAAATTTCAGATAAACCACATTTTAAAAAATGTCAGTAGAAGTATTGCATGGGACATACTTATACTCAAAAATTTATTTATCTGTAATTCAAAGTTAACTGCGTGTCTTGTATCTTATTTGGCAAGGGAAGGAGTTTTGCCAGATTTTCTGAAAAAAATTCCCCTCAACCTATTAACTCATGCTGCAGCCAAGGCTGCCCGTGTCAGCCTAAAAAGCTTGGGGAGAATGGGATGGAAGGGGTGGTCGGGTGAGAGTGGGGGGTTGCCGGACCATGCTGATTACAGAGGCCCCGGGACCTCGGCTGGGCAATGCTGTGGAATTTGGCACAAATAACACGTAGCTGGAGAAATCCACAGCTGCTGTCTGTCCCTGGGGAGAGGTGCTGACAGCAATTGTTTAAAAATCCAGGGGAGGTGGTGACCAGCTGTCACTTCGGCACGGGATTCACAGAGAGGCCTTGTCTTGGGACGAGACTGCTGAGGGAGTCTCCGGGCCTGGCTAGGGCAGGGTCCCTGCGGGGCTAGAAGCCTGGAATCCAGAAACTACCTCCAGCTGCTCCTCCGTGTTCTTCCTCAAGGCCTCTTCGAAGCGGCGTGCTCTGTCCCGCAGAGACTGGCTCTGGAAGGTCAGCGTGTCCACCTGGTCCTGGAGTAATGATATGAGTCCAGCTGGGGGCGCTGCAATCAGCGGGCCACCACTTTCTGCAGCATCCTCAGAGCGTCTCCCTTGAGGCTGAAGGAAGAGGTGCCCAAGGGGACCCCCAAAACCATATGATGGGCATGGTTTCCCCCAATGCCTGCCCCCGGCTCGCCCCTTCTTGGCGCTTTGTCAGGAAGAAACCACAAAAACACTGTGAACCGGGGGGCGTCTCACAACATCTGATCCTATAGAGGCAGACAATCCTCAGAGAGAGGCGTCTGGGCCAGGAGGCACCCAGCCCCTGGCGTTGGGAAGGACCACAATGAATGTACTTCAGAGAAATCATTCTCATTTATGAAGCTCAATCCAGAACCCTTCCAACCCTCCTTGACTTCTTTCTCTGCCTTGGGACCCCTCTCACATCACCAAACCTTCCAGTCACCGAGCCCTGCCATCCTGCCTCCTGAATGTCCCTAGAAGCCACAGACTCCCCTGAGCTCAGCCACTCGGCCGGCTCCATCCTGACACGATTCTTCCTTTTCCTGAAGCATCACTCCTTTACCCTCACATCGCAGTCAAACCCTCTTTCTAATGCGCAAAGCGGAACCTGTCCTTCCCCGGCCTCCTGCCCCACTGCCCTCAAGGTGCCGTGCACACTCCCGAACGCAGCGTCCTGCCCCCTCGCTGCCACCCTCTCCTCTCACGCCAGCTCTCCTCCAGCCAGCTGTCTCTCACTCCTGCTTCCTTCTGGCTCCCATGCAGCGTCCTGGCCTGACGGCTGGGTTGCGTGTCCCTGATAGGAGCTGACATGGAAGCCGAGTCCACACAGTCTCCTCCTCCCTGCTGAGACCCGCTCCCTGGCCAGAGTGGCGCTCCCAGCCCTCTGCCTTCCGTGCCCATCAGCGAGGGAGGCAGCTGGCCGCTCTGCACCTGCAGGTGAAGGAAAGCAGGCGTGTCTATGCGGACACCGCGCTCCTTCCCCAGCTCCCAGGGCAGATGCGCGTGCGCTGACCCTGCCCCACTCAGCCCGCCCATGACTGTCCACACCACAGGCTGGCAAAGGACCGCTGATGCTCAAGAAGCGCTTCGCCCTTTATGTCTCACTCATGCAGACCAGTCCGAAGCTCTGTTACAGCAGCATTTCTGTCATATCAAAACACAGAAACTAGGGTGTCCCGTGAATTCTTTAAAAAAAAAAAACAATCCATATATATATATATATATATATATATATATATAAACACACACACACACACACACACACACACACACACACACGAGAGACAGAGACAGGGTCTCACTCTATTGTCCAGGCTGGAGTGCAGTGGGTGCAATCTCGGCTCACTGCAACCTCCACCTTCCAGGCTCCAGCGATCCTCCCATCTCAGCCTCCTGAGTAGCTGGGACTACAGGCATACGCCACCACACCCAGCTAATTTTTGTATTTTTAGTAGAGGTGGGGTTTCACCATGTTGACCAGGCTGGTCTCGAACTCCTGACCTCAGGTGATTCGCCCCTCATCAGCCTCCCAAAGTGCTGGGATTACAGGTATGAGCCACTGCACCCAGCCTATTTCTATTTTATTTTTAAGAAATGAAAGTTCCCACAGTGCCATGAAATGCCAGTGCCGCTGCATGAGGGCAGTGCGCCGCAGGTGGGGGCTTGCGTGCCTGAGCTGAAATGTTCATCATGGCCCGGCAGCCCCTCCGGGCCCCCAGCACAGGCCACCTGCTACACTGACTACAAAAATGCCTTTCGTTCCTTGGCTCCTACACCAAACCTCCTCAGTGTTGCCAGAGAAAGCATTTCTTTTAAGCCTCTGTCCCTCCATTAAAAAAAAAAAAAAAAAAAAAAAAAAAAAAAAAAAACAGAACAATAGAAAACTCATCAGGCGATTATAACATAGGATGGATCTAAAATACCAAACTGTGATTTTTCTGCCTTAGTCACCATCAATCAAAACATCTGCAGGGAGAGAATGTGCTGTTGCAATCAACTTGGGCTGACTTCTTTATGTCAAGCTAAGAGGCATAAAGACACAGCTCAGCCTGACCCAGCATGGGTCACTGGGGAATCAAGCAATAAATAGCATGACAATAATCATAATAAATGTAACAGTTGCTTGTTGTTATTACAACAGTTACAATAGCTGACACTTATTAGCGCTGACCTCAGCCACCCCAGGGCAATCCACTTTTCACACGTTATTTCCCTTCATCTGTTCACACCTTGAGAAAGGTATTGTCATCATCCTTGAAGAGTAAACTAAGGTTTATAGAGGGTATGTAACTCTCCAAGATGTGAAAGCTAGTAAGAGCTAGCACAGGGGGAATTTAAATAAAAACTCAAGTCTCTAACGACCAAACCTGTTTCTCCAGGCACCGGCAGCCCAAGGAGGTTGGCTTGAGCAATTCCACCCTCCTTGCACCAAATTACCTCCAGTCCAAATGGATTCTGCTGCACAGAGAGTCACAATGAAAATTGCCCAGTTTAGTGGCAGGGCACAGACTCCCAGATGAGACAAAACTCTCATTTCTTTGGGTTTGGGATTGGATGGGATTTTTGTGACATCACTGTGTGGCTGTCACTTTTCTGATCTGTGTTCCTTTAAGGAACTGCCGGTGCAGGATGTGTATACGCGGAAGGCAGTCTGGGGTTAACTGGCCAAGGGCAAACCACGCGAGCACCATGCGGGCATCGCACATGTCAGTGTTTGAAGGGTACCCTGGAGAGTGGGGCCTGGGGTCTCTTCACAATCCTGGACTCTTTTCTTGGCTGGGCAGGCTCAGTGCCATGTATGTTGCCAGAGGAAAGTGAGTCATCAAAGAAGCAGAATTCCTGCCTACATATCACAGCTATGGGATTCACTCCCACCATTTCCAGATGGAAGTGAGCCTAATATTTAAAAAATAATTTTGTTACGATTGGAATTGCTACACCTGGAAAGGGAAGCAGGGCCGCCAACGTCCCCCTGGCTTCCCAGCCAGCTCCTCCCTAGGGCTGGGGGCTGTCAATGCCTTTTCACAGAAGCAGCTGCCTGGGTCTTTGTAAGGTGGGAAGGAGACCCTGCGTTCTCTCCTTGGGGGCCTGCAGGACACCAGGAAGCCCCTCTGGCATTTGAGACCAGCATTTCCTAAAGACGGAAGTGAGAGGCAGAGATGGAGTTTTCATATCAGCCACCTCCAGGTAACTGCAGCCCATTTCATAATTCTCAGAGCATGTTCTATGAATTCTCATCTGCACAACCCTCCCTGCACCATTCCCCTTGCCTGAAACACTCACTTCCTCAAGTCCGCCTCTTGCTTTGAACCTAGCTCAGTTACTGCTTGGATACTCCAGACCACGGCAAGTGCAGAGTACTCTCTCTGAACGTCTGTAGTGCCCACTAACTGCATTATTCATTTGGTGATGGTATGTGTTCCCTAAGGTTGTCTGTTACCATTTGCATCACAGCTCTCTGAGCAGACAGCACATTTCTTAAGGATACGGAGTATGCCTTATTTACCTTGTGCCCCAGCGTTTAGTATGGGATTTAGTACACAGTAGGTGCTGAATGAACGTTTGTGGGTGGGAATGCTGCTGCCGCCCTTATCTCGATACCAGGTTAGAAAATTAAAGAATTACTAACCTGTAATGACAGCCGCAGCTTTTCAAAATTTTCTTCTAATTCTTTCTTTTCAAGCTCATGAGTGGACATCAGTTCTGGAAAGAAGACATTAAATTGTTAAGTTGGTATTTCTTTTGAAAAGGATAAAACAAGGTTCTTTGGCAGACTAAGACCAGAGGCTTCAGGTAAATAAATGACTCCTGTGTAGCAGATTCAAGCCTAAGGGGACTCCTCGGCTGGTTTGAAACTGTATGTGATGACTGGGTTTGTATTTAGGAGAGAGGAAGAAAGAAGGGACTAGGGGGAAGGAGACGGGAAAGAGAAGACGGGGGCAGACAGAGCACACTCAGAGTGCACACACTACACACACATCCACACCACACGCACATCACATCCACACACCACACACCACACGCATCACATACACACCACACACACATATCACATACATGCACACCACACATCCAACACACACATACCACACACACATCACATACACACACTACACACTACACACAAACATCACATACACACACACACCACACACAATTACATACATGCACACCACACATCCATCACATAGACACACCACACACACACATCACATACACACACCACATACAATACACACACCTACCACATACATATACACATCACATACACACATATACATTTACCACACACACCCACACACCACACACCATACACACATATATACCTACCATACAGACATCACATATACACATACTACATACTCTCCACACACACCTACCACGCACATCACATACAACATATACCACATATACATCACACACAAACCCACCACACACCACACACATACACACCTCCCACACACATCACATACACACACCACATACAACACACCTACCATACACATCACACACACACCACATGCACACATACGCATTACCACACATACCCCACATGCCACACACACATACCTACCACACACATACACACCTACCACACAATCACATACACACATTACATGCCACACACTCATACACACCTGACACACAATCAGCTAATATACACACTCAACCATGCACACTCCCCCACATATATATACATACACACATGTCCCCCACACCCCTACATACATACACACTGCACACATCCCACATACACATACGTACCATATACAAACCTACACTGCACATCCACTACACACACACACACCACATATTCCCACACACCCCCACATACATATACTACACATACCACACATACATACCCTACATATATACCACACACATATATACACCATACACATGAATAACACACTCACACACACCACACACACATCACACTCTCGTAACTCACAATGCCCACACACCCCCAAATCCATACACATTTACACAAACACACACTTACATGCCTCCCCACATCCTTAGAGCACCATCTTTGTACATAACATATACCCACACCCCTCACACCATACACCACATACACATACCACACACACGACAAACACACCCCCATGCCATACACCACATAAACATACCACACATACACACATGCATACTCACTGCACACACCGCAAACACCCATGCACTTAACACACACACACACACAAACGTCCCCCCATACTTCTCACCATATACACACACACACCTGCACCCCTCCATATGTCCTACCCTCCCACATACCTGCAGCCCCCCATACCTCCTACCACACACACATTTACAGACATCCATATCCCCTCATACCTCACACACCACACACACACACACACACACACACACACACACACACACTTTCTCTCTCTCTCTCTCTCTCTCTCTCTCTCTCTCCCCTACATTGCGCTATACCACCATCCTGCCCAAGTCAGATCCTTTGTTCACATTATTCATTGATTCTCTAAACTGTCCTCATGGCAAAATAACTACTAGGTAATTAACATTAAATCCCATTTTCTTCCCCTCCCAGGATCATCCTTCCTTCCCACTTCGAAGCAGCCATCTGGGGCTGAGGAAAGCAGTGTTTCCAGATGAGCGGAGCTGCGAGCAGCCATCCTGCCAGCCACGCTCGCCAGCTAGCCTCAGTGCTGTGTCTACAAAGACACCTTGGTAGCCTCTTGGCTGCACTCTGAGAACCACACGTCCCTGGGATTTGCCTCCGCAAAGGTTTGGAGTTAAGACAACTCAGATGCAAGGAAGAACTAATTGGACTGGTTCCTCTTGGAGGGTTTGAAACAGTTCTGTTCTGTGAAAAGTGTCATCCCAGCAATCATTTGCAAGTTAGGCAGAAAGAGATGTCATGTAAGAGTTATTAAGCAAATGGATTCTATTTTCCTCCAGATGGGAAGGGTCTTATTAGCTGGGTGAAGCCCATCTCATTCTGGCTACACAAGCAATTTGTTTTCATGTTCTAACGAGAGGGAGGAGGGTCTCATTAATCAGCCTGGATCATATGCTCAGAATGGCAGCGCCCTGGAGAACGATTATTACCATTCTGGCTGGCTGCAATTAGGAAAACCTTTGTGGTTTTCATTGACCCACATCTTTTAACTAATGGTGATAAGGGTCACTAAGAAATCCAGTTGTTACAGCTGATGTTTACATTTGGAAAAGAAAAGTTGATAGAGAACCAGCTGGCCTTTCCGGTCTGCCTGCCTCTGACTAAATGATTAGGTTTCATAGTCATCGAGAGCAGCACCCTGACCATAATAATACATTTTTTAGCTACCATTACCTACACCTACCTGGCCTTATTTTTAATTCATTATTTATAATTATTTATAATTCAGGTTTTAAAATATATTTAATAATTTTTAAAATATTATAATTCAAAGACCTTGAATGTGGTGTCTGTGTGAGACTTCATTAGTCAGAAAAATCTACCAAATCTATTTATGTGAAAATCCAGGAAAAAAAAGGCAACATCATGGCTCACTGCACCATTTCCATTCACGTTCTCTTGTGAGACCAGCTTCCTCTAGTGACAGATTTAACCGCACTTTCAAAGAACTCCAATGCCTCAACGGAAAATAAGAGGCCGTATCCATTCTGAAGATGATAAAAGTCATTGCTAATATCTGTGTCTTCATCATGCATTTCTTTATTTCAAGTTCATGACGCTCTGTCTCGTGCTTAATACAGCGTTTAACACAATGGTTCTCAAGTTTTCCTTCATGCTAGAATCACCTAGGGAGTTTTACAACCTTCTGATGCCTGGGCTGTACCCTGGAGCAATTAAATTGGAATCTCAGAGGTAGGAGCCACACATCAGTATATTTTTAAAAACTTCCAGGTGGTTCCAACGTGTAGGCAAGGGTAGGGACCAGTACTCTGAGTGTGAGACACACTACCAGGAGTCAGGAGATCCATTTAACTAGCCCCCAGGAAAATACTGTCCCTTGCCTCCAGCTTGGTCATGTACTAATAGTTCCCAGAGGTAGCGGGGGTGGTGCCTGAGGGCGACAGTAACAAGGCCCTTGATTATGGCACGCTGGGTCTTGTTCACAGAGAACATTTTTACAATAACAAAAACTCTGGGCTGGGCACGGTGGTTCACGCCTATAATCCCAGCACTTCGGGAGGCTGAGGCAGGCGGACCACCTCAGGTCAGGAGATCAAAACCATCCTGGCTAACACGGTGAAATCCTGTCTCTACTGAAAATACAAAAAAAATGGGCTGAGTGTGGTGGCACGCGCCTGTAGTACCAGCTACTTGGGAGGCTGAGGCAGGAGGATAGCTTGAACCCGGGAGACAGAGGTTGCAGTGAGCTGAGATCACACCACTGCATTCCAGCCTGGGCAACAGAGCGAGACTCTGTCTCAAAAAAAAAAAAAAAAAAAAAAAAAAAAAAAAAAAAAAAAGAAAGAAAGAAAGAAAGGAAAAAAAAAAACAGGAAGTGCACTATTTCCATGCCTAATTTAGACGGTGGCCCTCAAGCGTGGCTATACATTAGAATTAGAATCACCTAAGGAGTCTTAAGAAATCTTGATGCTTACACAGCACTACTGATCAAGGACTTCAGAATCCCTGGGGTGGGACTGAGGCTGGTATTGGTCTTTTGTTACAGCTCCCCAGGGGACCAGGAATTCCAGTATTCAACAAGGTTGAGGATAACTGCATTAGAGGAAAGAAACAGCAGCTACCTGGATCTTTGGTTCGTATCTCTTCTTTTCCCAGGAGCCAACAGAAAACAATGCACCAGGAGGGAAAGACAGGAAAGGAAGGACGAGAGAGGAAGGGACAGCCCCACACCAGCAGCGGGACAGCTCAGCCTGCACCACCCACCCCCGCTTGCTGAACACAAGGCTGGGAGCTACCTTGGACTCTGTGGTCGTGGTCATCCTGCAGGATCGCGATGGCAACCGTGTGGTTATTTTCCATCTCTAGGAGAGCAGCCTCATGGCTGGCGCTGAGATCTTCCACCTGGAGGAGAGTCGCAGTTACTGGTTAGACAGAGGGCTGAGGAGTATCCTTGTGGCTTGGAGAGCAGAAGTGGAATTCCCTGAGTGGAAAAGGTCCATGACCCAACACATCAATGACAAGTCACAGCCTCGAGCTGAAGGACGGAGAGTTGGACTTTGGTGGTGATGTGGCAGTCCCCGGAGTCACAGGGAGCTCACTGCCACAACCTGGCTCTTTGCAGGAGGGTCCAACTCCAGGCAGGGGATTGCTGACTGAGGTACCTCTTCAGGGTCCTGAGTGTGGCTCCTGGACCATCCCTTTCCCACTCCTATTCCATCCCCTTGCACCACGATGATGGCAAAGGAAAAGAAAAGGGTCCTCCCTCCCAGGTGGTCTGTTTCCCAGTGGCAGGGGAGCTACAGTACACAAGGTAAGTGACGGAGAGAATACTTATTATGCTGCCCAAGACAGGTTACTCTACTGAACCCGCAGAGCCACCGTATGAAGTAGATCTTTTTATGCCCAATTGAGTTGTGGAAACGGAGGCTCAGAGAAATGTGAAATGTTTTGCCCAAGGGCTAATACACAGCAGAGCTGGCAGTGGGACCCAGGTCCGTCTGACCCCAAAGGTGAAGTTCTTCCTAATGCACAACTGCTTTGGGTTGACCTCCCCCAAGCCAGACCAGCAACGAACACCTTAGGATTCTCTCATCAGCACCAGGTCAGGCTGGCAGGTCTGAGTCTCTTTTTAAATGTAAGGTTGCCCACCAGATTACAGCTTGGACCACCTGCACAGGCAACATGGTGCTCCTGGGAAGGGAGCTGCTTCCCAGCTGCAGGAACGCTTCTAGGAGTTTAATCGCGAGTGGTGCAGCCAGTCCAGGATTCTTCATTTTCATGTTCCTGACCCTGTTCCCTGCCTGTCACCTGCCTGCCTACCAGGTTTACTGCTATTGTTATTGTGGCTACTGTTTTTACTTCAAATGGATGACTTGCAGGAGTAATTGCCTAAACCGACCTCTCCCTATGATTGCAAATCTCTCCTGGATACACTACACCAGTGTTTACCCAAATTCTCTGACAGTGACCCACTGTAAAAATGACCACTGTACACAGTACCACAGCGCACACACCCACACACAAACCAAAGTTTCACAAAAACAAAACCACCCCTTCCATTTGCAAAAATCTTGTTTAAAAATGTTTCCTCTATTTTGTTTTACAAAATGCTAGTTAGAGGCCACTACACTTATTTCACAAGCTCCTAATGTGTTAAAACTTGCCATTTAAAAACCACTGAACCAGACAAGGTATGTTGGTCTTGACGTTCCTTGGTGGCCCAGGTAAGAAGACATTGCTTCTGGCTGGTCATATTCAGCCACCTCTGAAGCTCCTTCATTTCTCTGGGGAGAATTCACAGGCTGACCTTTCAATAGAGAAAGGTCTCTCCCCAGGAAAGGACGCCTGCCTGTGAAGTTGACATATGCGGATGTATTGCTTTTAAAAAAGGTGGATTCCCATTCTGGATACTATCATTTCATCAAGAAATTATCCCAACTTCTCTCTCTTATGGTAAATGAGGACTTCATCCACTAAAACAAGTATCACTGGCAAAACCAGCAACGGACCCACAGCATTAGGAAAGCCGCATTGCAGCGTCAGAACCGGCGTGGTGCACTCGCATTTAAAGGCCATTTTTGTGGTTCCCTTGCATTTAAAGGCCATTCTTCATCAAACAATACTTGCTTGAGGCTCAACGCTATGAACCTACCGGCAGAAAGGCTGATTACAACAGTATTTGTCTGATTCGTATTTACAGGAGTTTTTCATGGAATCTTTGTCCAAAACCTTTCAATCTGTTAGAAAAATAAATGACTGGTTAAAAAAAGGAAATATATCTTTTCTTCCTGCTCCATTACAGATGTCACTTAGGCCATGGCACATTATAGAAGGAGATTCTCCTACACTGTTTGGAGGGTCGTTACAAAGCTTAGGAGAAGGGAGAACCTTTCATCAGTCCTTGGTGTGATTCTAATTTATCGGGCGCTTACACAAATGATCATGGGTGGTTTCAGAAAAGAGGGAAAGAGGGAAGAACTAAGTTTCGGAAGAGTCTCTTGAGTCCTGGGAGGTGGATGTGCCCTGACCGGCAATACTACGTGTGTTTGTGGCTTCAGTGTATGCCATTCTGGCTTGCTGGAAGGCATGCCTGTGATTCAGAAGTGATGGAATATTATGCCCATTGTATTAAGGGTAATGGAATGGCCTGATATATTCTTACAACCCTTCAGAGGTGCTTTTATGAATGAAATACTGCTCACCTAATTCTAAAAGTTCACATGGAATTAGAGAAACATCCAGTATGATTGGAAGGAAACCAATGAGAGCTCTTGAGTCCAAATCTGAACACAATAATCCCTGCTCTTTAGTAATTTTGGTTTCATGCAACTAATGGTTTTTAAAGTATGTTCTCTCAAAGAGGAAGGAGCTGTCTGCTGCTGACCCTCCTCTTTCTTGTCATAGTAGGAATCCACATAACTTCTCCTGTGGTTCTTGGCTTCTTTCTAGAGCACAGGCTCGCATTTATGAAGCAGCCAGTAAGAATTCCCAACCTTGAAACCAGAAGGTGTCGGAGGGGATTGAGATAAGCCGACCCAAGAAAAGAACAAGATCTTTCTATGCACTGAAGGTCACCAAATCAAAGACAGAAGTGCTCGACCATTATGGCCTATGACAAAAGTTAGGCTGGCTGAAGCATCCTTCTCTTCTATCTAGAACCCTGGTGGGGTCCCTTAGACCACCACTGGGCCATCCTCTTCCTTGCACAGAGACAGAGTTCTGGGCTGCGCCATGGAGGCGTCTGTCAGCACGGCCGTCTGGTGGTCCTCGTTCTCCGGAAAAGCAGCTGCTCCGTGTGACATGACTACATCCCCACAGCGGCCTGCTATTCAGCTGGGCTGACTGACATCAGAGCACAGGCTTGGAAGGCCACCCTCTCAGACAGGTAAGAATACAGCTGTGGGTTGACTTCATGTAGCCATTTACAAAACGTAGTGATCTGGGGCTTTGGCAGGTCACTTAGAGAAGACTTAGAGTTCAAATGAAGAAACGTATGCTTTATATGGTCTCAGCTTCACCCATTAAACCCAGACCAGATTAAACTCCCATTTGTGCCCATCCACATGGGATGAGACAGAGGGAGCCTGCCCAGGCCCTCTCCCATGCTCTCTGAATGGCTTTCCTTTTCAGATAACTAGGGGGCCCTTCTTCACTTGGTCCCTGCTTACAGTGTCCTGGACACCAGCTCTGCAGCCCCATCACCACTGCACGGCCTCCTCCCGGAGCATGGAACCTCTGGGCTGTGATGGGAGACTCTGGTGCTGGGAGACAGAGGGCCTCCTGGGGTCTCTTTTTATTTGATTAGAGAGAATGTGGCTTCCGCTGCACGCAGCACAACTGTGAGCCTGCTCTGCAGGAGGGCCAAGGAGGCGTAATGCAGATGATGGACAAAGTGGTCTCTACGTCTGGATTCATCCTGGGATGCCCCTCCTGTCATTTAGTCTAAAATGATTTCCTTACAAAAGCACAGAAAGTGTGTCCTGGATATGAGACAAGGCAAATGTAAACTCCAAAGGCTGAGCTCTGCTGCTCCCTACGGAGGAGGAATCTCTGCTGAGACTTGATGGAGCAGAATTATCATGTGTTCAGACCGGCAGTCCCTGCAGCGAGTGGCTTTGGAGAAAGTCCTGGAGTCAGACAAACTTAGGGTCTTGGAGGAATGGGTCAAAGGTCACAAGCCGGATCCTTGCATGCCAGGCTCTGTGGCTGCCTGTGTGTGGGGATGGTCAAAGGCAGCCCAGAAACCAGGGCTGGAAGCTGGGCTGAACATGTTTGGGGCAAAAAAGAAAAAAGCATGTGTGTTTTCAGTGAGTCTGTTTTGCAGGCTTGATCAAGAGAGCTGTGGCAATTTGGCATTTGTTACTGTGCAGCCTGCTTTAGAAGGAGAGCTGACTTTCACACATTAAACACCTTTATCATCGTGCCTTTAGAATAAAAGTTATACCTTGTCTTTAAACTCACTTGAGAAAGCCAAGAAGCAACGCGACCCCCACCCCTCCCTCAGCACTCCAGCCAGCGGGGTCCTGCAGCTCCCACCATGCTTGTGGCTCTGGGCCCTGGCTGCACGCAGACATTCCCTGGGAGAATCCAAAACAGCTGGCTGCCAGGCCTCATTAGTGACGCTGATTCAATTAGTGTGGGCAGAGGCCGAGAAGGGGTGTTTTGCTATTTCTCCAAGTGACCCCCTGTGTAGCCAGAGCACACACCATGGCAGAGAGCCAGCCCCTGCCCCCTGAGATGGTGGGGGACCAAGCAAGAAGCAGCTCTGGCTGGCTTTGTCATGAGGGAGGTGCTGCTGCAAAGCCAGAGGTCAGCCTGCCCCGGCCGGTGAGTCCCAATTTGAGTAGAGTGATATTTGCAGCCTCAGAAAATCCTGCGTGTCAGGACCAAAGCAGCACCTGCCCCTGCTGCCAGCTGTTGGGGGCCGCTGGGTCATGAGGAGATGCCAGACCAGTCCACCTGATTTTTTACTTTTACTGATTGATTGATTGATTGAGATGGAGTCTCGCTCTGCCGCCCAGGCTGGAGTGCAGTGGTGTGATCTCGGCTCATTGCAACCTCTGCCTCCCAGGTTCAAGTGATTCTCTTGCCCTCAGCCTCCTGAGTCGCTGGGATTACAGGTGCATGCTACCACACCTGGCTAATTTTTGTATTTTTAGTAGAGATGGAGTTTCACCATGTTGGTCAGGCTGGTCTTGAACTTCTGACCTCGTGATCCACGTGCCTCAGCCTCCCAAAATGCTGCAATCACAGCCATGAGCCACTGCGCCCAGCCGTGAACCTGATTTTTAAGGTTCCAGAAGGACACAGATGTCACTATCTATGGGGTTAGCACTGCCCAGTGCAACTGTCCCTGAGAAGGAGACCCTCAGAGTGGACAGTCCAGCATGGAGCCTAAAACCACAGATCATTCTCGTGTTCATGTCGGTCACCCCCTTGAGTCTCCTCTCCCGCGAAACAGGAACACTAATTCTATCTGGTAGTTAGACTACTGGCCTGGGGTGCATTTCATCTTCCTCGCTTCCTGCATGTTCTCTGCTAGAGAAGCTGAAGCCTGGGGAAACAGCCAACTTTCTGCAGCAGGAGCAGAGTGAGGGGCCTGAATAATTCATAGGCTCGACTCTGGTTCCCCCAAACCAATGGGTTTTTGTAGGAAAGAGTCACTCACATGTAAAGCATTCAGATGTGATTTCTGACACTTCCAGCTGCGAGGATGAGATGTGAAATTCTCAGTTCCTCAACACGCTGCGTGCATTTCTCACCCGCGTTACAGTTCCTTGGGCACTTATCTCGAAGCTTCCTCAGTGGATAGATAAACAAGTCCACATTTTATAAATCTTACTATCTCTTGCAGTATCCTGTCATGGTGCTTTGCGTATGTACAATGCACATTCTATAAATTTTCTTTGCACAGGTGAATGAGTACATAAGTGAACGGCTTTTGCTATCATAAAGGATCATGAACAGAGGGCAGAGCTCTCATACAACTGAACATTTTTGAATGATGCCCAGGTAGCTTACATAAGTCATTTTCATGTGGAAATGTCAAGGGCTTCCTTTCCTTTCAAACTCCACTTTGAAATCCCTAAAAGGCTGCCATGTCCCAGTTTTAAAAAGACATGAAGCACATCTCTTGGCACATGCTTCTGTGCAGGTGAGCCCTCAGTGAGGCGTCCTGGCCCCCGAGTGGACATGCTCCCATCAGCAGTGCCGCTGCTCCAGGTGCTACCACGAGAGCCTTCGTTCAGGGTCTCCTGCCTGCGGACCACCTCTTGCCCCTTCTCCTCAACGTTCTGGCACCTTCTCAACCAACCCAGACCCTCGGATCAGCAGCCTTTGGTAGACATGGGTATAAACGTGTTCTGTGTAAAATTGGGAACAAATAGTCCATGGATACAGAGGCATAGGACAAGTTGGTATTTATACCAGGTTTGAGATGTATAAAGAAGCTGTAAACTAAGTAAGCAAGCCTGTAGACAGCAGCCCGTACAAATGTCAGCCTACAGGAGTGACATGCAGACAGCCTGGGAGGCATGACGCTCGGGGCTCAGTTTCTCATCTTAACACCAACAGGTAACTTTAGCTGTAACCTATTCTGTTTCTTAGTCTCTATGGCCTGACCTGCCTCAAACAGGGATGTGTGTTTGGTTTTTATAGGCCTCTAGGAAAGAAGAATGACTGACCTGAGATACTGTATAGAATAAAATGCCGGAAAGCAAGAGTTTTTTATTACAATGATAGTAATTACTATTACTCTTAAATTCCTCCTAGTTCCCCTAAGAGTCACAAGCCTCTTCTGGGGCAGTGGGAGGGCTGGGTGGGTATTGCTGTCCGGGATGTCCACTTAGAAGCAACCGAGGAGGGTGGCCCAAGGGTTTCTGACAATGAAGGCCACTCAACACTACCCTGAATGTCAAGTGACATTTAAAGGGTGCTCTTCACAAATGTCAACTTACCTTAAGCGCATCATAAGACCACTATATAAAGCAACACACCAATTAGAAGGTGGGGATGAAGGCGTTGGAGCTGGAGAACTTAGAAGCAACAGAAGAGAAAGGAGCAGTGCTCATGGAAGCAGAGTGGGTACATGGAATCATCCGCCCATCTCTCATCAGCGCTAAAGGCAGTCATGGACAGGGTAGCTGCCATGGGGGTGGGAGCATCTGCCTCCTTCCGGCTTCTGTAGTGACAAGCTCCCTGGGAATGGTCCTCCAGCTAGTCCTCAGATGCATTTTCCTCTCCAGGAAGGTTTCTGGGCGAAAGTTAACTGTTGGCATTCACTGAGCACATGGGTATTGTGTGATGCTCTGCCAGACATGGTTCCAGGTGCCAGGATCCCGCAGGAGACCTGGCAGGCAATTCTAACTTAGTGGCTGGCAGCAGGGAGTACTGGGTGTTAACCCTGGCTTCTCCACAACCAGCTCTGTGAATTCTGGCAAATTAACTGAACCACGGGGGCTTGGCTTTCTTCCTGTAAAATGTGAATAAGAATACCTTCCTCGTCAGGGCGACCGTGAGGACTGAGTCAGTTCATGCAAAGAGCTGAGAACAGTGCCCGGTGCAGGACAAGGGCTAGATACATGTTTGCTTGTTTTGACTTCTGCCCTCATGGAATAGAAAGATGATAAATAAGGTGGAAAAGCAAAACGTACGTGTGAGTGGTAAGTGCTGAAGAACACTAATAGTGGGAGGCGGACAGAAAGAGTGTGTATGTGGTGAAGGGAGGAATGATAATTTTGGATAAAGGTCTCACTGAGAGGGTGACATTGGAGAAGAGTCTGGAAGGGAGGGCGAGAGGGCGCCATACACTGTCTAGAGGGAGAGCATTCCAGGCAGAGGGCACATCAAGTGTGGAAACCCTGAGGAAGAGTGAAGGAGGCCAGAAGGGCTCGAGGAGAAGGTAAGAGGGGCAGCAAGGAGAAAGCAGCTCAGAAAGGAAACTGTTCGCAAAGCTCACCTACCGACCAGGACTTCTTGCTAATGTGGCACTGGCTCCCCTCCGCCTGCTGCCTGCGTCGCCTAACAGCAGAGCTCGAGCGGCGCTGCAGACTGACCTGCTCTTGGTGCTGACACCCGATGCTGAGCAGCTGGCCGCGGTGCTCCTCCTGCAGGCGCGCCATCTCCGCCTCGAATTGCAGCTGCAGCCGCTCCTCCAGCTCCTGGAGCTCAGCCTGCTGCTGCCAGCCCAGCTTCTTCACCTCGTCCTCAAACCGCCTCTCCAGCTCCTCCTTCTCCTTTTGTAGTTTCTCGCACTTTGCTGTATGGAAGGCTGGGTGCAAAGTACAAGATCTTTCTTAAAAAAAATGGATAGGAAGTATGGGAAGGACTCGGCCTCCATGGTCAGATCATTGAGGCTGGTGCAATCAACCGGGCGAGGACCTCTGACTTCCGCAGGGCTGCACCGTTTGTTAGTGCCGTCCTTTCTACCCATTAGATCACCACCACAGACACTGGATGTTGAGGAGAAGCTGCAGCCTCAACGAGCTCTGGAGACTTGCCCAAGGTCATCCAGAGGGTGGAAAAGGAGCTGGGAAGGCAAATCTGGGCTTTCTGATGGCAAGGTCACGAGGGCAGGTTTTCAGGTCTGTGGACCACAGACATAAAACATATGGAGTGTCTGGTAAAAACGTAGATGCTGAAATGTGCCTTGGGTGAATCACAGCCCATGAGGGAGGAATTCAGGATCTCAGCTTCTAGCAAAGCCCCTGGGTGACTCTTATGGCCATCAAGGCTTGAGAGCTGCCACTGTGGAAGCTGGGGATAGGAAGAGGGCCTGGCACCTAAGGCTAGTCTCTTCCGGCTAAAATGCCAAACAGGACAATCTCCAAGAAGGTGTGGGGGTTTCCTTTCAGGTACCCTGAAGTTTTCTGCTCGCTATCTGTTTGGCATAGGCACTCCACCCCTAACCACAAAGTCGTGGTTTGCTTCAAGTGTGACAGGTGACAACAGGGCATGGAGCAATGACACCAGCCACCATGGCCCCTGCCTGAGCTCCCCTTCTGAACCTGTTCTGTCTTAGTGTCTGTGCCTCCCCAGTGCTGTGGGCAAAAGCCGAGTGCTTCCATTCCAAAGACCTCTTCCCGAACTGCACACCTGCTTCCAAGACCTTGACAATCTACTACGTCTAGGTCAAATGGGGCTGATTACGTACACACCCAAATGCAAATGCCAAGGTAGGCAGACATCATTTACATTCTGCAAAGGTCTAGCATGCTCACTGCTCTGTGCTACAAACTGGGAGACACTGGCATTTACGTGAAAATAGAGTGAGCAGGTATAAGTGCTGATTAACTGTAATCCACACCCTAGTGGTGGTTAGCGATGACAGAAATATACATCCAAGGTTGCTAGATAGCATTTGAAACACCCTAATCAGAAGTCCCAGGCTAGAGAGGCAGCTAATTAAAGGGCTTCTTTGCCACATTTGGCTCTGAAAAATTCAATTAGCATAAGGGTTGTTAACGTTTTTTTTTTCCTCTGGTGAGATAAGTGGTAGATTGGGTAGACACTGTACAGGCACCTTGCCCTTCGCATGAAGGGTGTGTAAGAACCTGGCCGGCCCAGCAGCCTAACACTGTCCCTGGTGGTCTTCCTAGCCCGCCCGAGGGCTTCCATTAGGCCAGTGTCCCACATCCCATCATTTAATGAAGGACTCTGGTCTGCCAATACCATCAGGGCACACCGAGGGCAGGGTGGTGGGAGCTGCTCATTCCATGTGCAGGCAGTCAGGAGAGGCGCTGTAGGCAGAGAATGTACAGGCGAAAACCAAACTGACTTTAAAAGACCTCTGGCTTTTGATTAGCGCCTTGCACCAACAATTCTAAACAATATTGGTGGAAAAATATTCCTCCTCAAAAAAGCTTTTGTTGCTCTAAGTTCTGAACAATTTCTACAGTGACTTACCTTTCAGGTTTTTGACTTGTTGAGGGCTTTTTATTTTTTTAATCACACACAGAGAGAACACATAGAAGTACAGTATAAGGATATTATTATATAATAAAAATAATTTTAAAAGGACCCCCCCCCCCCTTTTTTTTTTCCTGGAACCATTCGAGAGTAAGATGCTGACCTGCTGAATGTGAGCCCATCTCCCAGGGCACATTCCCTACAAATAAGAGTTTTGGACTCAACCACAGAACTGTCATCAAATTCAGGAAAGATACTCTGCTACAGTAGTGCCACCCAGTGCTCAGACCCTCTTAAGTTTCATAGGTTGTTCTGATGACGTCCTTTCCAGAAAAGGAATTCAGCCCTGAATCACAAGTTGCACCAAAGGAGGCTCCTGTCTCCTTCGTCTGCTTCAGGCTGGGAGAGTTCCTCAGTCTTTCCTTGACTTTTAGAACCTGAATTTTAAAGACAACTGGCCAGGAATGTTGTAGAATGTCTCTGAATGTAGTGCATTGGATGTTTTCTTCCCATTCCATTGAGCTCACGCCTGTTTGGCAGGAATATTACAGAAGTGGCACTGAATTCTTCTCAATTAATACATCTAAATAATTTCTTGAACATGGAAATTTCTTCTTTTTAAATTCTTTATGTAGTGAGTCAGGAAAATAATGTGTATTACTGAATATTACATGGTGATGCTGAAAATAATTTTGTGGTATAGACAGGGTGTTAAAAATGGTCCATTTGGGGTATCAAATTAGGTGTGCCTCAAATATATATATATATATATATATATATATATATATATATATATATATATATTAGTGTCACATCTGCTGCAAGTAGATCTTTTACCTGAGGTATTTCTAAGGAGCACAGTGCTGGAAGGCACCAAGCTTCAGAGCACAGGTAAGAAGCTGACATTTTCCTTGCCTGCTAGGAATTATTAGTATGAAAGGCAAACTTGGTCAGATACTTTGTGGTACCTGGTGCTGAGGTCGTGGCAGGGGGACCCCCAGAGTCCTCCACTTCCTCTGGTTACCAGAGGCTACCGTCCCCACACAAGGAACTTAATGAACAATGACTGATAGGCAATGTGGCTCAGGGGTGGTGGTGGTGAGGACACGCCTATTCCCGGGAGTTCTGAGACCCCAGCTTACTCAGGCTCCAGCTCTCCCTAAAGACCCTCCAACCAAAAAAAATAAGCGACCAGGATTCCACCACAGAATTGAGCTAGTGAACAAAGCTCTCATGATTCAGAGAAGAGGGAAGAGGTACATGTGTAAAGACAGGTTTATCCTGGGATGAATGGTGTTACGAGAACAGAACAAAGACCGTAGAATGTCAATTAAGAAACAGTGATTGACAGATTGACACAATGCCAAATTAAGTCAAGTAGAGAAGAAAGAATTTTATGTACCTTGGGAGAAAGCACAGAGTCACCCTACAGACAAAAACTTGAGCCCCTGCTTAGGGCAGCCCAGGGAATGAGCCCCATGTGGACTCCCCAGCGCACGGGGTGGTCTGCAAGGCACTCTTGCCTCTACAGTTCAGTGTGAACTAGCTTCATAGTGTCCTCTGCCTCACGCATCACGTACCTATGAATGGGATAAGTAAAGCAGTGACCTCGACGTGTTTGCTTGTATTCAGGTCTACCAAGAAGCTCACTGAGAGGTGACACACATGGCCAAGGAATATGAAAAAAAGGTCAGTGCCCTTCTTGCAAATTGAAGCAGGAAACCATTTTTCATCTACAAGGCTGATAAAGATGAGATGTTCTGCTAATCCAGGAAGAGTATCAGGAAACTGTCACTCAAAGGACTGTAGGTGAAATGTAATTGATACAGCTACTTTGGAGGGCAAAGATATCTTTCAAAATTTAAATGACAGGGATAGCAGTATTAGAGGCGGGAGATAAAGAATCTGGGTTTCTTTTAGGGGTGATGAAAATGTTCTAAAACGGATTGTGGTGACAGTTTCCCACGACTCTGAATATACTGAAAACCACCAAACTGTACACTTGGGTGGGTCGTATAGCAGATGAATTATATCTCAATAAAATTTTTACCAAAAGAGAGGAAGAACATTTTTTAAAAACTAACGAGACATGCAATATATCTCAGAGGATAAATTTAGATGTTTTTATAGAAGAAAAGTTCATATTCTGATTTTAAAACTCTATATAATAATGGTGAAGATAAATGCTGGCAAGATAAAACAACAATGAAAACGCTACCACAACACTGTTGTCTACACACACACACACACACACCCCCACACACACCCCTACGGATATACAGCCATGCATTGCTTAATGATGTGGATATGTTCTGAGAGATGCTTTATTAGGAAATCTCATCATTGTGCAGACATCTTGGAGTGTACTCACACACACCTAGATGGCACAGCCTCCTACACACCTGGGCTATATGGTGTAGCCGATTATTCCCAGGCTACAGACCTGTGGAGCATGTTGCTGTACTGAATACTGTAGGAAGTTATAACATAACGATAAGTATTTGTGAATCTAAACATATCTACACATTAACAAGGTGCAGTGAAAATATGGAATAAAAGATAAAAACCGGAACACCTGCACAGGGTACTTACCCTGAACGAAGCTTGCCGGACTGGAAGCTGCTCTGCTGAGTGGGGAGTGGTGAGTGAGTGGTGAGTGATGGCCTGGGACATGACTGGGTGCTACTGGAGACTTTACAAACCCTGTGCACTGAGGCCACACTAGATCTCTTTAAAAAAACATTTTTCTGTCCTCAAAATAAGTTAACCTTAGCTTACCATAACCTTTTCACCTTACAAACTTTTTAGTTTTTTCAAACTCTTTGATCCTTTTTAAATAACACTTAGCCTAAATGCAAATATACTGTAAAGCTGTTCAAACATGCTTTCTCTTTATATCATTATTATAAAGGCTTTTTTCTATTTTTTAAATTTTTATTTTCTTTTTATGCATTTTTGTGAAAAACTAGGACACAAATGCACATATTAGCCTCAGCCTGCACAGGCTCGGGACCATCAACAGCTCTGTCTTTCTCTGTCTTCCACACTCCACATCTCGTCCCCCTGGAAGGTCCTCAGGGGCAGTAACACCCACAGAGCTGCCATCTCCTAGGGAAACAATGCCTTCCTCGGCAGTACCGCCTGAAGGATCGGCCTGAGGCTGTTTTACAGTAAATGTTTGTTTTATAATAAACAGAAGGAGTGGCCTCTAAAATAATGATAAAAATATAGCATCATAAATACATAAACCAGTAACAAAGTCATAGTATTAGGTACTGAACGTAACTGTATGTGCTAGACTCTTTTTTTTTTTTTTTCTTTTTTTTTTTTATTGCATTTTAGGTTTTGGGGTACATGTGATGAACATGCAAGATTGTTGCATAGGTACACACATGGCAGTGTGCTTTGCTGCCTTCCGTCCCCTCACCTGTATCTGTCATTTCTCCCCATGCTATCTCTTCCCACCTCCCCACCCCCCGCCCCTCCCCCATTTCCCCCCAACGGACCCCAGTGTGTAGTGCTCCCCTCCCTGTGTCCATGTGTTCTCATTGTTCAACACCCGCCTATGAGCGAGAATATACGGTGTTTGATTTTCTGCTCTTGTGTCAGTTTGCTGAGAATGATGGTTTCCAGGTTCATCCATGTCCCTATAAAGGACGTGAACTCATCGTTTTTGATGGCTGCACTCTTATACAGTTAGCAGCTCGTTAGGTTTGTTGATAGCAGCATCACCACAAAGCTATGAGTAAAGCGTTGGGTAATGAGGCTCTGACGTCCCTAGGTGACAGAAACTTTTCAGCTTCATTATAATCTTGTGGGATCACCTTTGCACATGAGGTCTGTTGTTGACTGCAGTGTTGTTACATGGTGCATGGCTATACATGGAACCTAGGAATCACTCTTTCCTCTTCTTAGCTAGAGATACGTTCAGCACATAAACCTTACATGAAAATGACAACAACATTGCAAATCATTTGTCTTTAGAAAGTACTGTTTTGCCTGAAAAAAATCATTTATCCCATGCCAGTTTCAGTAGCTTTAACTCCAGAAGAGCAAGGCAGTAAGCAATAAGCTGACTTGTGTAGATGGAATAAAACTGAAAGTATATAAATGAATAAAAACAAGTGATTGGCATTGGTGAAAAAATTAAATGACACATATCTTCTAACACAGTAAGTTCACAAGTGCATAAAAAATTGGGTCAAGGACAACCACTGTAGCATAATTTGCCTTAGGGAACTAGTTAGTAGGGGGCTAGTTAAATGATGATGACAAATCCAGTACACATACAGGCTGAATCCTATGCCAGTGGGATAGGCGTAACCAGTGAAAAGATAAGGCAGATCTTTTTGTCGTATCATGAAATGATCTCTGTGATCTATTGTTAACCAAGAAAAGGCAAGATGCAAAACAGTGTAATTGCAAAATTACATTTGTGATAAAAATGTGTCTACAGTTCTACTCTTTCTCCTTTGGTAGGCTGGGTGCCAAGGTACAGGATTCACTGTATATTGAATTCCTGTAATGATATATATTTCCTTACATCCCTATTTATTGTTTGCATGGCTTAGAAGTAAAAAGGTTTTTAAAATTATTGTCGTAATTAAGAGAAGTCTGGGTTTTCAAAAGTTCTGGTATCCAGTGGTCAGATTTTAAACTTTAACTTGTCGTTTTAGCCATGTCAGTGGTAAGATGATTCATGGGCCAGGCACTCTACTAGGGGCTAAGAAATGATTGGTTTTCATTCTAGGGCTGTCTCTGAACTGCACTATTGCCTTAAATAAATCACAAACTGGGTGGACCTCAGTTTTGCTGTCTACAAAGTGGCGAAGTAATCACTTTTTGCACGTACAGCTCCAATCCCCAAATTCCCAGTTGCTATTATACATGAGAGGTGAAGCTTACATTCTTCCAGCGGCTCTCTGCTGTGAGCCCCAGGCCTACGGAAAATACTGGATGATAAGAGCAGCTGGTACCAGGGGAAACAGCTCCAATAATAGAGTCCCTAAAAAAATGAATATCCTGTTGCCTCTAGCAAGCCTTCAGAAACCTATGTGGGCACTTTTCAAAACGAGATTAATGTAAGCTAATTTAACAGCATTAGACAACACGTGGAGTCTCACTTTCATTATTCCTATTCATGTGAAAACATTTAGTCCTTCAGAGTGAAAGGCAGACACCTCTATCATAAATATCTGGAATCTAGGGAGCTGAGAAAATAAATTTTCAGGTAATCAGATTGTGATTGGCTAAGAGAATGTAACATATCTAATTCAGAAGCATAAATCTGAAAAGCAAAAGTAGGATTAGAATCTGTTGTACAGTTTTAATAACTGATTTTATTGACAATGAATAATGCACATACATCTGATATGGAAATACCTAAAATATTGTTAAAACTGCATTTGGAACATCCTCTGACATATATAATATAAAGATATCAATCTACCAACTTATGAGTGTAAACTAGTAAGACGTAGTGTGATCCTTGAGACAATAGCAGAGTAAAATTGCTGTTGGAAGCATTTATAAGACAAGCCTAATTTCAGCCACAGTTCATAAATTAAGTGAGCAGAAGAAGGCTCAGAGAGTAAGATCAATTTGATCTCAATGATTGTCCCAATTATCTTTAGAATAATTATTCGTAACTCTTCATTTTTTTTCCAAAGAGGCAGCAAAAATTGGTGGTTACAGCCCTAGATTGAAACAAAAGAGAACTATCTGACTCTATAGCTCATAATAAAATCATAAATAAGAATATTATGTGGCCTTTTATGTCATAGGGAATGCCTTATATATGATAGTTATAAAATAAATGGTGAAGCAACACTTTGTGTTTATATAATGTATATACATGTTACCATTATATATACACACACACAGTATATATTATTTATATATTTACATGCACATTATGCAAAATATATATAGGTCAGTATAATAGTTACTATAGTTACATACTGATGAAAGTCAATACCACAGTTAGATGAAAGATTACGCTGTTTCTTCAAGAGACTAGGATTAATTGAAAAGACAATATAACTGTCAAGGACAAAATTAAATTAAAAAAATTACCCATAATGTTGCTATACAAAGAAAATAAAAGTTTAAATTATGTAATCCCTTCATAGCATTTCAGTGAACTCTCAACATCCTGTTAGGAATTTCCCATGTCTTCCAACCAACATTTTATGGCTACCTTACATTCTCCTGTGGATGTAACACAATTTATAACTCTCTCATTATTGCACAATTAGTTTGTTTCCAAGATTCGCCATTATAGACAATGCAACAAACATGTTCGCTCATATATCATTTTGCTTTGTTCATTTGGGATACATTCCCAGGGGTAAAATTACACGAGATTAAATGTTATGAATATCTTTAGGCAGCACATGGTTTTTCTTTTTTGGTGGCAGAGATCCTTGTTAACAAACCTGTGACCACCAGACGGCGCTACACTGCCTGAAAAATACCCTCTGGTGGCAAATGTCTTTGTCCAAACCTTAGATCACAGGAAAGTCCGCAAGGTGGTCAGGGTGGTTTACATGAAACACAATTGCCTGGGATTCCGGACACACCACCCTGTAGAGACTTACTCTATCTAATTACTGATTTTTTAAATGACAATGTTAACAAGAGAGAAAGGAATGAATGAAAATGAAGAATCAAAGTTCTGGGCCATGGCCAGTCACAGTGGCTCACGACTGTAATCCCAGCACTTTGGGAGGCCAAGGCATGTGGATCACCTGAGGTCAGGAGTTGGAGACCAGCCTGGCCAACATGGCGAAATCCATACTAAAAATACAAAAATTAGCCAGGCATGGTGGCATGTGCCTGTAATCCCAGCTACTCGGGAAGCTGAGGCAAGAGAATCGCTTGAATTCAGGAGGCAGAGGCTGCAGTGAGCCAAGATCACACCACTGCACTCCAGCCTGGGCCACAGAGCAAGACTGCAACTCAAAAACAACAACAGCAACAACACAGAAAGTTCATGGACCGAGAGTGAAAGAGCAAGAGTCATCGGGGCTCTTGTCGCCTCTACAGGTCCCTGCAG